CAAAAATGCGCCGAAGGAAAACTCGTAAGTTTATTAGTAGGAAAAGCGAAGGGTATTTTTGACCGATTTCCTTCCAATTATGCGTAGGAAAGGCTTTCCTTCAAATTTCCTACGAAACTATTTCTCTTACTTTTCCTACAAAGATTTTTTTCTACGAAATTATTCCTTCTACTTTCCTACAATAATTCCTTCACCTTTCCTTCGATATTCCTTCAAACATTTGTGGTAGGAAATACTAAATAATATTCATGCAGCGATTTATTTCATTATTACTAAAATCGATTATTAATTTTTTAAATTGAGAAAATAAATATTTAAGACGAAGAAAATAACAAAAACTTCTATATAAAAACATTCCAATTGTTGATACAAACCAAGTGGTAAACATCCAAATAATAAAAACAACCAAAATCATATAAATGTTCTCATTACTCCGGGGTTTCATCATCGTCATCTTCAGGGACTGTCAGAGTCAAACTCGGATCCTCCGGATAAGTAGGTGAGCGCAAGTCAGGAAACCGTCCGAGGAAACTTTCACTATGACTCACTCCACCTTGCCAAATTCTCCAACATTTGTGTTGCTGCTCTATACTACCGTCTCTCTTACAAACCTACAACAAAATTTTCAAGTATTAGGTTTAAGAAAGAGAGATATACAAGTGAAGTGAACAGGAACGCCATTTACCTCGCCAGCTTCTCTCGTGAAGATTGTAAGACGTAAATGGAGAGTACAAAAGAGAATGTGAGAGCTGATCACAGGTAGAAAAAAAAAATACATGAGTGTATCAGCTTAATTGTCCTTCTTCACTTTCTGACACATTTACTTGTAGTTAAATTTCCTTTTTTTTTTCCTACCACTTGCCGTTTTCGTCATAAATGCGAAGTTTTTCCGAAAGAAATTTTTTCTACCAATATATTTGTAGGAATTTTCGAAGGGAATCGACGTGTTTTCTTGTAGTGCTAAAAGTTCAGCATTAGACGTCATGGATTCTTGATTTGAAAGATACTTGGACGGTGCACCCCACGTCCACCACATCGAACCCGTCCTAAGTGCTCAGAACCAAACACTTGTTCATATGCATCATATGGTCTAGAATCAGTACTCTTCATGGAGGTTTCATCTTGAATATTTTGAGCCATTACTTGGGAAAGCTTATCCTTCAAAAACAATGTAAAGGATTTACAAACTATTCAAAGCACAATACTCCAAAGAAACAAGAAATACGTGATATAAACTAATTCAATGTGGAAAAAAGTGAGCAAGAAGACTTGAAACAGAGAACCATCAATTATAAAGCTGACAAGGTTCTTAAACTGAATTTACACAAGTAGAAAATACCGAGAAAGTTGAACACATATCAATAGAAGCTATAAAACAGAAATAATTTTTACCACATTGGTTCTTGCTTCGTTGCATACTAGACTTCCATCTGACCTAGTCCGTGATGCAATAAAAAGTTCAGCTCGATTTGGTTCTATGCCTGTCTCCTCTTCCTAAAAAATGTATCATTGCAACAGTTTTACAGGATTGATAGAACCTTAAGTACTAATTAATGCAGTGTATATATATATATATAACTAAACATACCATTTTATTAGCCTTTCTTGCTAAACTCTTTTTTCCAAGTGCATGTGGCATTTTATGATTGGTTCGACTATTAATATTACACTCTCTCATTTTCTATAAGTATAATAGTAATACATAGCAGTATACAATTATTTATATGTGATATACATACAAACTATAAACATATATAGCATTATGTTTTATAGGTTTTAGCTTAGCCTTATCTGTGAACTGCATTTCCATAAATTCTTTCCATTGATCTTCTGGAATTAGTCCTGGTCTTGCCTGAAATGATTCTTCTAGAGTATTTCTTCTATACTTATACCAAAGACTAATTCTATAGTTCTTCCTCTTATTTGGGTCATCAAACCAGAATTTTTTCTGTATGTTTGTAAAAATGAAAACAATGAATGGAGAGATTTAAATCCAGCTCAAAGTCAAAGTAACTCATAATTCATGTGCAATTTTCTAGATACTCAAGTTTTTTTTGTTGACAAATGAGAATTGGTTTTCGTGCATTGGGCACGGCTATCTTCGTGAAGGAATGTTTACGGCTATGTAAGATAAACATAGCAAAAAAAAAAAAAAAAAAATTAAATTTACACTTTTATTTTAGAGAAATTGATACCAATAACCTTTTTTGTCATTTTCATTTTTGCCCTCTTTTAAATTTTAATGGTCATTTTACCCCTAGTTAAAAGAATATTCTTTCCCATTCCTAAGGGAATGAATATTCCTTCCAAAAATTTTCTCCCAAAATTTTCCCTCCAAAAACTTTTCCGGTTAAATTTTCCCGCCAAAAAAATTTCCAAAAAATTTTCCGAGAAACTTTTCCCGCCAAAAAAAATTCCCGCAAAAAAAAAAATATTTTTAAAAAATTTTCCCGCCAAATTTTTTTAAAGGGTTTACAAGATTTTTTAAAGGGTCTTTTAAAGGGTTTACAAGAGGTTTTAAAGGGATTTACAAGAGTTTTTAAATGGTTTTTAAAAGATTTATAATAGTTTTAAAGGGTTTTAGAAGCTTACAAAGGTTTTTGAATGGTTTTTAAATGATTTTAAAATGGATTTTAAAAGTTTTTAAGTTTATAACAGTTTTAATAGGATTTACAAAGATTTTAAAAAGATTTTAAAAATTTACAAGGAGTTTTAAAGGTTTTTAAAAAGGATTTACAATACAAGTGTTTTTAAAAGGATTTACAAGTGTTTCTAAAGGATTTACAAGGGGTTTTAAAGGATTTTAGAAGTTTACAAAGGTTTTTGAAGGGTTTACAAAAGTTTTTAATGGTATTACAAGTTCTTTAAGATGGTTTTTAAGGATTTACAAGGGGTTTAAAGGGTTTTAGAAGTTTACAAAAGTTTTTATTAAATGATTTATCACGGTTATAAGGGGTTTAAAGGGATTTACAAGTGTTTATAAATGTTATAAAATGATTTACAATGGTTTTAAAAGGTTTACTCAAGTTTTGAAAGGTTTTGGATGACTTTTAAAAGATTTACAAGGGTTTTTAAAGGATTTTTTAAGGGATTTATAATTATTTACAAGGTTTTTTAAAAGATTTTTTAAGGAATTGCGGAAAAATTTTGGCGGAAATTTTTTTTTGGCGGGAAAATTTTTATCGGAATTTTTTTTGCGGAAAAATGTTTGTCGGAAATTTTTGGCGGAAAAATGTTTGTCGGAAATTTTTGGCGGGAAAATTTTCGGAAGGAATATTCTTTTTGTTGGAAGGAACATTCTTTTTACTGGAAGAAATATTCTTTTTGTTAGAAAAAATATTATTTTCGTCATCATGGTTATCATAAAGGAGGGTAATTTAGTCATTTTGTATATTGAAAAGGGTATTTTTGAAAATGGACACCTAGAGAATGTACTTGTAGAAAATGGTATCATAAAAAGGTTAGTTGTGCAAATCCCCCTTTATTTTACACCTTAAACATATTGGTTCGATATAAAACCATACTAAACCACTAGAGTTGGAATTTTTTTTTACCAAGCGGGTTTTACATCAATTGTGGTTCGATTTGAATCGGTTTAGGTTCAATTGGATAAGTTCGATTAAAATACATTCCTAATCTCTCGGTCAGTATATTATTTTCCTTAAGATATATTTCTAATGAGATCGAGAATCACAAGATTCATTCGATATTCTCATTGTTTTAGTCATCTTTCTTTTCCTTTTTTTCCTCAGATCAATAAGAGTTTCAAGAGCTGGGGTTGAAAAGCTTTGTTGTTTGGTGAAGTTTTAACAAAAGTGTTTTGCTTATGTAGAGGGAAACATACTACGTCATCATAGGTTTGCGCATTGTTCATATAATGAAACTCTTTTTAATCACTTAACTTAAAACACTTTCGTAGATTAAAATCGTTGGTGGTGAATCTTCATATCAACAAAGTCCTAGTGGGTCTATGTTTTCGTACTTGAGATTTTCTGAAAACGTATTGCGGATATAGTATGACAAATTCTCATGGTCTAAAAATTTATGGTGTTCCCATGTCTTTCAGAAAGAAAAAAAAAAAGATATATTTCGCAGCTTAAGTGGTGAAGCCCAATATTTAATGTTCTGTGGGTTATCCTATGAAGCGATATGATGGCTTGAATTTTTTAGTTGTCGCATGATTTTTACTTACTTGACTTTGTGTATTTGTGTGGGTCTAAAAATCCTATAACTTGGTTATGTTGCTTGAGCGGTTTATGCTTTTGAAGTTCTAACTTTGATTTTGTTGGTTTTATGTATAGTCTTTGTTTGAGGCTAATATGAATATGTTTCGTTGCTTGCGTGGCCTATGCGTTTGATTCAAAAAAATATGACATTACTAACCCACAACTTGAAATATAGTGGTAAAGTCGAAAAGAGATGGTTATTGATTTGAGTTTCGTAGATTATATTACTTGCTTAATCAGAAATGGTTTGATGTGAGATTATTCTTTTGTAAAAGAGTCTCTTAGTAGTGAGAACAAATTTTTCGTGAATATTTTCTATTATATTTCTGTGTACAAATATATATATATACTCCAAAGAATATATCAACTGTTTTCTTGTATATACAAAATTTGTTCAGACTCTTAAGCTTTAATTACTTTGGTAATATACTCTTTAACAATGCAAAGCATATATAATGCGCATAAGATTCTACATGGTTAGTTACTTTATGTAATCACCAGTAAGATCAGTGTTGTAGAAACTAGTAAATTTGAACGTTACCAAACAGTATCTTCTTTTTTTATTATTATTCATCCCAACGGTAAACATATCTAAATCTGACCGTTATGAATTAATTTTAATTATGAAGATACGTAACTACCAAACGGTAACTTTTTTTTTTTAATATTAATTTTGTATTCACCCAAACGGTAACTTATTTGACCGTTGGAAATAATCTCTATAAATAGACTATAGTAGAACACCTCCGTCTTCCTTCATTCAGACATCGAAAGGTTCTTCTTACTCTCAAAATCTCTGTTTTTCTCTTTCTTTAAAAATCTCTGTTTTTTTTTTCTTTCTTTAAAAATCTCTGTTTAGAATCTTCTGACCTGTTGTTCTCTACTTCTACAACTCAAGTTTATATCTGAACTTCTCATCCCCCAAGCGAGAGCGGCTAGCAATAGAGTCATAAGAGACATCACCCCTACTTTTTTAAGGTAACAACTATTTTTTATGGTCTTACTTGTTTAAACAACAACGAGAATCTAAGAAATCTTAGGCTCTATGTTTTAGTAAATCTCTCGTGCATGGTTTGTTGTTTGGTTCAGATCACTCTTGAAATTTTGTCTTAAAAAAGAAAACAAACTATGACTTATTTCATTTGTCGCTTTGAACTTTCATTTTTATTCATGCTCTGTTTCTTCCCCAGAGAGTTACATAGATGTTAAAAGAACTTATAAAATTATATTGTTTTATTAGTACATAGGAAAAAAAATAACAGTTATTGCTCTGTTTGTCTTAATAATTCTTTCTAAATAAGGATTAAAAATGGGCGTTATACATGATGTAGTTACAAGTATTATTACATATATTTGTTTTTTTTGAATTAAATGATACTTGCTCAATTAATTTGTACATAATTCTCTGAAGCGATTGTAATGGATTATATTTTATCTCGTTTTGCAGATGTTGATGATGAACACAAATTCAAAAGGAGTGTGTAACGAAAAGGCCAAAATGGAGTTATATATGATCTCACTCACATTCATATCCTTTGAGAAAGTGCAGACTAAATGTCAAAGAAAGGGAGTGCTTGTGGGTGTGAAGAATGCTTGTAAGATATAAATGATGATAACTTGATAAGATGTATGTGTTATGATGTGTAGAGTGCATGTGTGATGATGTGTAGAGTATGTCAGCTCGTAAAAGATGTATAGGTATGGTGTGTGACGTATGCTTGTATATATGAGATAAAAATGTGTAGGATGCCCAGCCGTGGTGGTAAAGGAGAACGGTTGGAAGGAACTAACGTAGGTTCGATGTGTGGGAAGTCTGTCAATGGGTCGGTTTATCTGGTAGTTAGAAATGCAGGCGACTTAACCCCTAACATTAGTCGGAAAGCATTTCAAGCATTTCAAACTCGGGATAAATAGTGTGGTGGCCCTTCGGAGAGTAGTTCACTCTGAAGCATTTCGGTGCGTTTAAATTAGATGTGGACGTGGATGTATGCTTTGTTTAAAGATATTACAGAATGTGGATGTTTGTGTAGGGTGAATGTGTAGGATATGATGTTTGTTTAAATTAGATGAATGTTTAGGATGTGTATAAGGTGAATGGAGGATGCAAATGCAGATGAATGTGTATTATTTTTTCGGAAGAATGTTTAGCCAACCATCTATAGATAAATAGTCACACATGCCAAGTATCATATTGTACACTCAACCACACGAACTATATGTATTGCATGGCATGCATCAACTATACAACGTTATGTAGTCAACACGTAGTCAACACCATAAACATAAAATTCTGGTACACCGGTTAACTAACTCTGGCGTTGACCGGTGTTGACTCCGGCTTTTACCGTTTTTTACCAAAATAAAAAATATTTCAAATGAAATGAATTGATCATGTTTATTGATATATACTTTTCTTTGTTCAAAAATTGATTTTTTTTTCTTCTCAACTACATCTGACTTTATTAACTTTATAATGATGTTAATCAGTACACAAAAAAATAAAAATAAAGAGAAATTAAAAAAATGAAAAAATAGAAAATATAACAAAAAAAACCGCGGGTACCCAGAACCCAATAGGATAAAACCCATATAAAACATGTTATAAATGAGAATGTCCCATTTAAAGCCCATTTTTATTTACTGTATAGAAACAGGTACCCAAACCCGAAATTATAACTAAGTCCCGGGTACTCACTAGATTTTTTTAAAAAATAATCAAAGAGGTTCTGTGCCGAAACTCATACATCCCCTCAGGCCCGAAATCAAAGCATGTTACCCATCATTAACATCTCTAACTACGTGCATTCAAAAGAGTTTACTCATCATGTTTATATTATCAATAAACATGATGAGTTAAAGAGTTTACCCATCATTAACATCTCTAACTAAGTTCCTTCTCGATCATTTTCCGAACTTGGTATCTCTCTCATTCACAATTTCATTTGATTTTTTCATATGTTGACATTTATTGATGAGAACAAAAGAAATTAGTAAGGACACATTAAGGTGGTTGTGGTTTATAATTCTACGGATTTAACCCTTTATAGTTAAAAGTTAAGTGTCTTTTTAAGAATAATAAAAATCTAATTTCAGTTCTTTGATGTGGGTTATTATCTTCTACAATCCAAGTAAACTTTTGTCATATTTTCATTATTTTAACATCAAAAGAAAGAATTTAGCTTGAGTACTTGAAGATTTATATATTGGATAGGTTAAAGGAAAAAGCCATGTAACGTGAGAAGTCGCAGCTCTCAAATACAAATGCTATCGTACTTTGGTTACATTGTTGACATCAATACATATCAGTAATAAATACTTATTATCTTGAGTCAAGATTCTTGACCGTATGAGAGTATCATAACAAATACTTAGTCTTTTTTAGTTTAATCCAACCAAAGCTTTGATAGTAATTTTCTTTAGTACTTATAAGTATTTTTTGATAAAACAATAATATTGTTAATGATAAAAATAGGAATAATATTGAGAGAATTACCAAACTCTCAGTTTTTTGTAAAATCATTATTCTTAAAAGAATATGATCATTATTCTTAAAAGAATTTCTTACAAATTGATTTGATAATTATATAACAAAAAGTTTATTTTGTTAAAAAATTACATACTTTTGAAAATAAATTAAATATACATGAATATGTGAGAAAGAAACAAACATCCAAAGTAAAAGAATGAAGATGGTTTCTTTAACTTGATTTTCTTATAACCATTAAATATTATTATACATGTGTATTACATTTAAAAATATAAAAAAAACAATGAAGACATAAAGAAATACATAAAAACAAAAATAAATAAAATTGAAAACAAAAGTTTAAACTAAATAATTAATCAAACTCTTACAATGATATTTTAAATGAGTTTTTAAAAAAAAACAAAGAGAATAATGAAGATATGAGATATGGTAGAGAAGGATGTGAGAATGGCTATTTATATGATAAGAAGTGATGTAAGTTACATTTTTAAAATAATTAAATTAGAGGAGTTATAATTATAATTTATAGTGTGTTTAATTGGAATTCAATAAAGAAAACCAATAGTCTTTGAAAATTTATATAATTTTCAGTTTCATTTTAGTAGTAAAGTGTGAATTTAAAGTATGAATTAATGTATATGATTAAATGTGCTTTTTTGGTTAAAAATAAATATTCTATTTTAAAAATAAATACAAAATGGAACAATAAAGAGAGTGAAACCTTACTTTTATATGTATGATTTTAAATAATTTTCCACCAATAAGGCTTATAAAATTTGTTGAATGATATATGATTAAGTCATTTCATTTTCTTTGCCATTTGATTATAACTTATAGTGTAATTAAATTTTGTATTAAATGATTGTTATAAACATTTTTTTTTTTTTTTAAAAAAAAAATTAAAGCTTTAAATATTTTTCCACCAATAAGTAGAGAGTGTAACCTTACTTTTATATATATATGATTTGATTTCTAATTAGCGTTTTACTTGTAATGAGTAGCAAAAGTACAAAACTAACGACATTTATTGATGGGCAATTTAGATGCAGAACAAAACAAATTAGTGTCTGAGGAAACGCATTAAGGTGGTTGTGGTTATATTCGTATGTATTTAATCCCTTAAATTTAAACGTTAAGTGTTTTTTTGATATAATTAAAAAAAATCATTTAATTTCTAATTTCAGTTCTTTGGATTGATTCATTATATTCAACTGATGTTCATTATATTCAGGTATATATATATATATATATATATATACGTCTTGTTGTCAAAACAAAATAAATAACGAACCCGTTTGATAAGCAATTGTAACAAAACTTAATAGGACAAGTCTTATTATTTTTCTTGATGGCCTTACATGGTGCAACAAAGTCCATAGTCTTCTGTCGACACTACAAAACAAAAACACAAAACATTATTATGGTTTTAATATAAAACAAGATCAAAGTCTTAAAACACGAAACTAAAGTTTCATTTGGTGGCAGGATTTGCCATTTTCTGAATAGTAGATTCTATGTCCAACGACTCTAACGCCAGATTGCTTTTACGCTTTCTCCCCAAAACAACAGTAAACTATAGTGAATGAATCGACCTTTGGCGATAATAGAGATTAGAGACTCTCTCTCTCTAATCTATTTGAGAGTGTTTAACGAACTAATTAACAATGTATGAGTAAGATATGGAGAACGAATCTGAAGAAAATAATGTAAATAATTAGTTCTCCAAATCTTCCTCATACATTGTTAATTAGTTCTTTAGACACTCTCTAATCTGTCTCTAATCTTTATTATTCCCCAAAGTATGATTCTTTCACTATTGTGTACAGTTGTTACGGCGAGAAAGCGTAAAAGCAATCCTGGCATTAAACTTTAACGTTGGATGTAGATAAAAAGATACTATGCAAACACCTACTAATGACAAACCATACTTTTGAATACATATTTTATTTTCCATTTAAAAAAAAATATATCTATTATATAAGAAGAGGGAACGATTTCACAATCTCACTTCAAATTTTGTATTATGTCTTCCCAAACTCAATCCCTAAAATCTTCCTCGTAAATTACATCAAAAATTTATCAAAAATTTATTAATTTGTTACGTTAAAAATATTTATAAATTAGAAAAATGATCAATGACAACATAATTAATATTTTAAAAATTAGATTTATCAGACATATATAAACTTTAAGAAAAATAAATTTGATAATAGATCCAAGTCGGATCTGAATATCATGTATTACAAAAATCAAAATATTTTGATCTAGACCAAGAACTTTCATATATCATCTTTCTGATTGGATGGTCATAGATCTCGGATAATTTTCAACCTCAAAAGATGATATAATTTATTTAGTGATTTTTTATGATGCTTTATATAAACTTTAGATGATTTTTACCACAAATGAACTCTTTTATCTTTTCACTAAAAACTCGTGAGACAAAGTATAAACATCAAGCAATCAAACAATTAACGAAATCATGAACAAGTATTGAGTAATATAGAAAACCAAAAAGTTATGCAAATATTTAAAAAATTCAAATAAAATCGAATGAATGTAAAAGATCTCAAGATATCTATGTTTTATCAGGACATACCTTTTGCATTAGAATTTAGTCGGGTTCTAAGTTTCTTCATTGATGTGGTCGAGTAATCCCAAATTTTTATGGGGTTGTTTTTGCTATGTTTTGTAGAGTGAAACAATACGGCGTAGATGATGAATACATTAAAAACTGTGAGTATGATCCTTTTATAGAGCCAAGTTAACCTAGGTAACATGCCAAACGACGTCGAATAGAATTATTTATACGACGACGTTTGGCCTGATTCAATTTTGTGTTGTTAAGATTAACTTTTAATACTAAAAGATCAATACGACATCGAACACAAGTTTATGTGTATTGTAAATATGCGATGTCGTTTTGTAGTTTTCAAATTTTATCTTGTCAAACGTAATTTTTTGGTTTCACTAAGAGTAATTCACAATTTCTTTGTATCAATAAATCTATAGCCGGTTAATTTGTCCATAAGCTTAACATTTAATACTAAAAGATCAATACGACATCGAACACAAGTTTATGTGTATATAAAAACCTTAAACATTAAATAAAAAGGGAGTACGAAAGAAGTTTATTATTCTTTCTCACTCAAATTATTTGTCTTTCAACATCATAATAATTTCATTGACCCTCAAATCTGCATTAATTCACTTCACAATTCATTGTTCAACCTCCATATCCAATATCTCCCAACAACTCATTGGAAAATCTTCTTTTTTGACTTTCTAAAACCTAATAGTCAAACATTGCATTAACAACCCCATTCTAAAAAGTCTAACCCTCCACTAAATCAACCATCACAATTAATAACTAAATCAAACAAAGAGTAATGGTAACTAATTACTAACCATATCATTAAATAAGTAATTAAAATACACATGTATACGTCAATTACTTCTCTATATCAAACAAGTAGGAGTAATTATGAAAGAAAGAAAAATACACTTTTTTTTTTGTAGTAAGAATTTTTCTGTCAATTTCTTTCTCGGTAGTTATAAGATTAAAAAAATACATTTCAAATAAATCTAATTTAGTTTAGGGAAATTAAAAATTACAAAACCAACCCCTATATTATCTCAAAATATTACAAAATCTACCAAACTAAAATTTTCTTTCAAACCGAACCAAATACCAAACCGCTCACGCTAGGAGTAGTAGCCATCATCATATTCTCCTGCATCGCGGACTGGTTATGACGGTGCTCTCCTTCGTAAGTCACAATCAGCATCGTTGAATCATCTAATGCTCGTTCCACGTGTTTCCTCGCTGGACATCCTCTAAACGAACTACACTTGTAATAACCCCTGATAAGTCAAATCAATCACAACCGTTAGATCTTACTTTAAAGTCAAACAAACCAACGGTGGATAGGTATAGTGATGATGGTGTACGATAGTTACCGTGGATGTGGTGAGCCTTTGATCGGTTTTTGTCCGTACTTCCTCCATGAGTACTCGTCCGGTGGTATATCGGCGATCTTTGCACTTATCGCCGGAACTCTCACCGTCCTCTTCATCCGATTTTTCCGGCTGTTTAGTCAAAAATAATCGTAATTAGTTTAACGTGCGCTTATTTTGCTAACGTGAACGTGCCATCAAGTTTAATGTAAAAAGTCAAAAGTCAAACAAAGACTTTTATAACTTAAAGCTTCACTACACGACAGCACCACTAACTAGTCTTTGTCATGCGTGCCTTTTAGTTTAAGTTACTGTCGTTGACTTTTAAGTCTTTAAGTAAGTACGTTGACCGATTAGTTTAGACCGTACCGAACCGGTTCAAGTAGTATTAAACCAAATCGATTAATAGAAATGATTAGTTTATTTATGGATGTAGTAACAGTACCTTTTCTTGCAGTGGCACTTGCCGTTGCCGGAGCCAGAGATCTTGCCGGAAAAGTTCTCGGAGTGATCATGTTCAAAGCATCTTTTTCTATAAGGAAGACCAGAAAGCGGCGGTTTAGCTGAAGAAGGCAATGGATTCGCCGGAGCTAGAAAGATCGAAGAACCTTTAGAGACGCTTCCGTCACCGGTGATAGCGGAAGACATGAAAGAAGAGTTATTAGAAGATACACTAAAGCTCTCCTTAGCGAACTCAACCACCTCAGAGCAGCTCTTTGTTTTAGCGCCAAAGGAGCTTGGTCTAGTGAAATCTAACGTCACGCTTTGTTGGTTTGACTGAACGAAACTAACCGGAGCAGAGATCTGAACTGGAACCGGAACCGGAGCCGGTGGAGGAGGAGGAGGAGGAGGAGGGGAATGAACCGGACCACGTCTAAACCGGGCGTGACCGGTACGGTTAAGAAGAGAGATGACTTTCTTGAACTTAGAAACGGTGAAATCAGTGATTTCAGAGCAGTCAACGTTACTACGTTCTTGAGGAGGGTTAGAGAGGATACGGATCAAGTGTTCCATGCTTTGTAAGCCTTGTGAAGCAGCTTCTTGTATAGCCGTTTGATCTTCCATCTTAGGTATACGCATGATATCAACGGTCATGATGAGAAGAAGATCTGAAGAAATGTGAAGTTTTCTATATTTTGATGAATGAGAGAAGAAGAGAGATCGAAAAGTGTAATGGAACCAAGGAAGAATGGCGTGATATATGGGGTTATTGAGGTGTGACCGGGTGACCGGTTGAGTAGGTCATATGGGTGGAGTTTAGTCAAATCGGTGTTTTTTGTTGTTTCTTTTGTAATCTAACGGTTGAGATTAAGTTGAAGACTTCTATGGAATAAAGCAATCAAAGTTTGGTCTCCTTGTTGTGTTGTGTTGTGTTGGGTCCTATCAATCAGTGCGTAAACTTGAATGTGAACAAAATAAAGGGTTAGAAAAAAAAGGAATTTTTAATTTCAAAGAAATAAAAAGTCAAATAAAAAAGAGATGGTATTTGAAGAAAATTCACAACTTTTTTTCTCATTTTTATTTTTACTTTTTATTAGCTATATTTTGTCTTCAAGTTCAAGTCAACAAATTTAAAATTGAAGGTATTGATTTTTTCATTATTTGTATGAACAATTGGGCTGTATTTTAGCTGTTATATTAGATAAAAACAAAAATGAGCTAGTTGATATTATAATTCTTTTGGAGATTTTGACTTTTGATTATATATTTTATGTTTCTTCCGTTTTATTTGTATTTTATTTAATTTTGAATTCAGACAAGGTTTTAGGTGTTATTCATGTTCTTTTTTTTGTATTTTATTTTATTGTCAATAAACATATACAATTTGTAAATATTATATGCCTATACAAATAAAACACTCATGTTTTCGGCATGTATTATATTATCTCAATTTCCTTCTAGAACTATTATTATTTTTGAAGTGCATTGACAAAATTAAATATATGAACAACATGTAATTCTTATAGAACAAAGTTTAGAAGTAGTTACAGATATAAAAATAATAAACATTTGACTTTTACTTTACCTTTTGCATCCAACTACATTTTGTTCAACTACAATATATCAATACCATTTAATACTAGCCCTAGGCAAAAATACTTCGAATCAGAAAGAATAACCAAACCAAATCCATAACCGAAATTGAACTCGAACTGAATTGATACCCAAAATTCTCAAAATATAACTATATATTTAAAATATTACTTATATATATATATATATATATTTAATATAACTCAATTACTCAAAATTACGATATTATATGCAAAACATCAATTTTTAGATCAAAAATAACTAAAATAACAAAATTTTCTCGAAAACAATTCTTAGTTATTTTTGTCAAATTTAACAAAATTGTATTAAAAAGTACTACTGTTTACTAATACTATAGGGTTAAAAAAAACTTATCAGTAAACTATAAACATTAAAGAAAAGTTACTACAGAAATTAAGAAACTATTTACATATAAACAACTTAACCTCATAGTCATATAAGCCTTCTAGAAAACGTCTTGACTGGGAAATTAGTAAAAAGAAAACAAATAATTTCTTGACTTTTAATTTACTTAATTAATCAACACAGATTGTGGAACAATTAAGAATCATTAATAGGGAGATTAACAGCGACAATCGTTGACTAAATCTCATTAGTATATATAAAAGTCTCTTACAAGTCTTTAAATTAGTTGAGAACAGCGATACATAACATATAAGAAGAATAACGACAAAGTAGGAAAACAAAAGCTGACTAAAATAAAAGTGAATCACATGGACCCTAAAAACTATTGACCACCTCGGTAACCGGATGATTCCGGTTAACTATGATCTGGACCGTTGATTAGCAAAAGTTGGATCCAACGGTGGATCTGTGAACTGTGGAGTTGACTCTTTGTTATTTATTCTCTTTTTAGCTTTTTATATTTTGTGAGAACCTAAAACAAAATCCTTTACTACGGCAATTGAGATTTCGACACGTGGCGTTTGGCTGACTCATAAATTGTCACCTGTCCACAAGCTTTTTTTTTTTGTTTGTTTGGTTTATTGGAGAGATAAAGTTTTTAAAAAAAAATTTCAATCCAATTGAATTAGGAGTGGAGGAAATTACTCGAACATTGACGGATACTGAAATAGGACGACGAATCCGGATTGTTCCTCCCCCGTCTTGGGTTACAGGATACAGATGATTTATTGACGGCTCCTGGAAGAATACAGATGAGTTTGCAGGATTGGGATGGTATTGCCAACACGTCCCAGATTCCTCCGTGACAATGGGTGCCTCCAATCTCCGACGTAGCCTCTCCCCCATTCATGCCGAAGTAGAAGCCCTTGTATAGGCGATGCGTTGTATGATAGGACACAACCACAGAGATGTTTTATTCCTCACGGACTGTTCAGACTTGGTTAAGATGGTGTCTTCTCCAACCGACTGGCCAGCGTTTTCTATTTATTTGGAGGATATTATCGCCGATAGGGAAGAATTTTCATCTTTTTCGCTCTCTCTTATTTCTCGTAATTTGAATGTGAAGGCGGATTCTTTGCCGCGAAATGTTCGCATCATGCCGTCTCTTGTTAAGTTTGTAAACAACTGTCCTCTACATTGGCTCATCTGAGCTGATTTTTTTTCGGTTGATGAAAAAAAAAAAAAGGAGTGGAGGAAATTAAATGATTTGTAAAAGAGCAAATTTTGTAGCTTTATTCCATCGTCAATAGATATTTGATAGATCATAGAGTTTCATCATTTCAACAAAAGTTTTTATTTTACGAAAAGTTTGTTACAAAATAGTATAAAACTATAAGAAAAAATACTGTAAGAAAAACTATGAATAATAGTTTTGATTTCATTTTTATGATTGATAATTGTCAAAACGAGACATCTTGTTTACAAATTAAAACCTAAATATTGTATCATTTTTTATCATTACTAATCACTAAAATGGAAATTTTAACATTCCCTTAAATGAAATGGTTACTAGTAATAAATATTTATTTTTAATGGTTATGTGTCACTAATAAAATGTGCTAAATACATATACGTGACTTAAGTCTTTGCTAATATACTATAACTTTTTTTTTCTAAAGATATACCATTACATATTTATATAATTTTTTTAGTATATTATAATGTTAAGATTTTTATTTTACTTGGCAGAAAACATACTAACCGAACTAAAAATACGAAAAATAAAGTAGTCCTTTTAAACTTCACTTCCATGCTTATTCAAAGATTTTAAAATTGTGACACTTGAAGAAAAAAATCAATCTTTTTCAAAAAAAAAAAAAAAAAAATCAACTAAACTAATTAGAATCAGACTTAGTTAGCTCAATTCTTTAAAACCAAGAACAGTATATTCAATATTGTATATATATATATATGACGTGTTTTGTGTGCAAAACAGAGCTCAAGATGTAACATTTTTTTATTTGTGTCAACGGGATGCATTATAAATCATAGACATGGGAATCGTTGACCTAACCGACTTATATATGATTGTCGTGCACGTCTCCTTTTTTTATGATTTCGTTTCTTCTCATTTTATAAACTTTTACATCCTTTTTTATTTATTTTTTAAAATCTTTTTTAACAAATATATAATTTATATAACTACAAAATAAACAAAATGTGGATGATTTCCGTTTGGTATTTTTTTTTTTTTTTTTTAATAAATCGAAATTCTGACAGTAAAATATAGCTCTAATCTAACTTATACTAAGACTCTAAATGTAACCATACATCATAGCAGTGTTGTAATAATGTCAAAATATCTGCATATATATATATATATATATAGTTATGTATTTATGTTACTATTTGAATTGTACCGCATTTTTTCTGCAGTAAAAAATGCAATTATTATTGAGAATCTAAGATGTCTATATGATTTTATACTAAAAAATAGTTTCAAATATAGTATTTTGAGAAATTTCTCTATAGTGTTCGCATATTTGAATCGTTTTACACATGTTAGTTAAATTGCATGATCTATCAATTAATACGGTACAAACGAAGCTTCATTTTCATTTTCTTTTTTTCGTTAAGTTAATTTGTTGTTTACGTGTTCCAACCACTATGTCTTTTTATAATGATACGGTCGATATTAAATATTTTATTATACTTAGAAATTTTAATTATTAGTTAGTGGGATGATGATAGAAAAAATGTAGATATTTCTTTATACTATACAATATATATAAGCCATTAGCCATGATGATGATGTATGATAATTATTGCTATTCATGATTCGAGAAGAATTGGTGGCTTTTTTCATGCCAAAGACAAAAAAAAAAAAGATTTGGTCTTACTTTATTGTAGAAGTCAATGTAATCTCTACGAGATAGATCATTTATTAATGTATTAACATACTAGAGATTAGTAAGTGTTTGCGTTAATGTTATCAACATATAGTATATATATTCTTAGAGCATGTCCAATGGTAGTATGTTATCAAAAGCTTTTTGTAATTTTTTACTAATAAATAGTATAATTTTTGAAAATAAGAATTTTTGAAGATAATTAAAATTATCCACTCATCTAATATTCTTGACTGAAAATACTGGTGGATATAGCATTTTTCTTTGAATTTTGGTTGAGTCTAGTTTAAGTTGTAAGTACTTGTAGATTGTATGATCTATAATTAAGTTGCATGTTGTGCTGCGTATTCAATATTTGGTTCAAAAGTGATAATAAAGACTTGACTAAGAAACGAGACTTAATAGACTCTAGTTAGTTGATTATAAATTTATGATCATAAAAAAATGTAAATTGTTGATTGATGAGTTTGTCTCAAGGGGGAATATCAAATATAAGTCAGAGGTCGAACAAGAAGGCTCCTTTTATTGATTAGAGATCAGCAAATACAAAGTATAAAAAGGGAATGAAAACTGGTCATCACTAATAGACTATATGCCGAGCTCTCTGCTGTACTTTCTGTCCTTGCGAAGTACGTTCTGTCTTTTTACATTAGACTTTTTTCCTTTTATAGACAAGTGATGTGACAAGACACCGCTTTAGGTTAGATTCTCGCGGACCGATCGTTATGGCCAGGCGACGACTGGACCGTTGCTTTAGCCTGGTTATCGCTTGTCGTTTTGTGAGGAATGTTGCCACGTCACTCCTCTTTTGCGGGGCCGAACGTAGATAAGTGGAGAGAGACTCGTGGACCGAGGCCCATATCCAACATAAATTAATTAGTATTCTTTACATAACTAGACCGGCTAATTAATAGTTAACTAAGAAATTTTCGGTTTGAGGTAGGATTCTAATTATGAAACTAGAATCTCTAATATAAATTAGAACATGATATATATATATAGGTAAACAATGCTTTAAATAATTTTTTTTTTTTTTTTGGATTTATATTCTTTAAAATATGAATTTTATACTCATAAACCATCTTTTAACTACTAATTACTCTATAATTTTTAATTTTTAAAATTACTAAAATTTTTCAAAGTTAACGCAATCAAAAATTTTAACTTCTCTTGTGTTAACGCAATTGGTTTATAATTGGTTTAATAATTTCCTATAACCCAAAAAATAGCTTTTTACACTAGTTTTTGTGTTAGACTGGTCATCAGACTGGTCAGTGGTCACTGGTTTGAACTCTTCGAATCAGTAATTGAATCAATTTGGTCAGCACGTGAAGGTAAAATGGTATTTATCTGATTGCTTGACTTTTCATGCAATATGAACTTAAAATAATACACCAAAGCCAGTGGTCGTATCACGTAAGATGATTTGGTTGAGGATTTGATTCTTTTGGTTCGACCAATACATAAAAACATCCACCATTTCTCATATTTGTTTTTCTTATCTCCACATAATATCATATTCCCTAAAAATCCACACCTAATCTTATCATGCTTTTAACAAAAAAAATGTAATCATATTGTCAGTGCAAAATAAAATATATCATCTAGTATTATTGTGTCATATCATATGCATTCTGAGTCAACCTGTTCTACTTGTGAGTTGTTTGTTTTATCCGAGGATCAAAGTTTTGAAACTAGGGGGAGAATTTTTTCGGAGGTTATTTCTAAAAGAGTTAGTAGATTTCAAAAGTTTTTGAGATTTCAAAAGTTTTAAAGATTCTCGTAGATTCTAACAAATCTATTTATATGATGGGTTTTTAATATATTTTTTAGCACTAATATTATGATGTTATTTTGTTTTGTTTTGTGTACCAAATTCTTCATTCAAACTAGAAACTAAAAAGTTACAAGAGGATAGGACATATTTAGATACCTCTAAATAGCAAGCTTGGAAATTAAAACACATGAGAAAACAGAAAAACAAACATAGAGACAAAAGCTTAACAAAACTTGATAGAGAACCAAGATAAATGTCGAAGCAAACTAATACGAGCAATCCTATGAGAGAAAACGCAATCCACACTTCTCATGTGACATTAAGACAAACTTCGAGACAACACAAATTGCTCTAGACCAAAAGCAACCTAAGGAGAGGCCATAGAAAGATATGGTTAGCAATCTTCACCAGACTTGGGCGGAGTCCGAACCAATAGTGGTGGTTCTAAACTGATAGCAAGCTGGACATGCTGGAGAAGTATCCAATGCAGACAGGAAAGAGTAGGAGAAGTATCAAGTGCTCTGGTGGGTGGAGAAGCAGACCATGCAGAGATGATTTGAGCAGATCATAAGGACTCTTAAGTGGACGAGAAACACAAGCTGTCCACTAAGGAAAAACAAGTAGTCCAGGCCCAAGAAGTATTGCACCAGGCCCACCAACACTTCAAAATTTGGAGCCTCGTCATTTTCCCTAGTTCAGAAGGGAATGCATTATTATGCCATGTTAGAACGTGAATTTTAACATTTAAGTAGGTAAGGTTGTCTCAAAATGCTTATATTGATAAAGTTCTTGAGAGATTTGGTATGATGGCATATTTTTCTAGTATCGTTCCTCTGCAGAATAGTGACAATCTAAATCTTAAGCAATGTGAGTATATTTTAATATTAGTCGACTATAGTCCAATTTATCGCAACTTTTATCTCTCAAGTTGTTTAGTGATATTTCTCCTCCACCGAAGTAAATAATGAAAAAGATGACTTGGGAAAGCCACCTTTGGACCCTATAAAATGGTAGAGAATCTGGAAAAAAAAATTTGGTCGAAAACCAAAGGTTAAATAAACGAAGACTTTCTACAACAAACTTAAATACATGTATTAAACATTTTAGGCTTTTTCCAAATAAACCATACTTATTGAAAGAACCCATCCCATTTTTTTTTTCTTTTAAACATGCAAACCGGATTGACCCAATTAATTCGAACCAGCTAAACCGACCATAATAATTTAAATCAATTAAACCAAGCAATCTCATTAAAGTAAACCAATAATATTAACCAGCAAAAGACTTTACCAAAAATCCAATAAAACAATTCTATTAAACCAACAAGTTCAACCAAACATTATTCCAAAACATGATCATCCTAACATGTTTCTAAATTCCATTCTAACACCCTAACAAATCCAACAATAATCTAAAACACCAATGAGTGCCTAGATCATCCTCCTCTCCTCGCCATGATTCCACGGATCACACTTTACTTTTACCTGCATCAAAGAAAGAGATGCATAAGTATTTCATAAATACATGTGAGGCAATCATCCCACCACTGGCTATACACACAAGCAGAAATGAACACATTCAAGTATTAACTCAAACAACCACCAATGCAACACAAAACAACACAACATGACCCGCTCTGACGAGCAGTGTCGATCGACACCATCCGCTGGTGTCGCTCGACACTCGCGACCATCCTCGCGAGAAAGAAAGTTGGTGTCGATCCCCTTGGTGTCAAGCGACACCGAAACCCTAACATCGCTCCAGCCGCTTCTCATCGACGAATCCACCAACTCCAGAACTCCATGCCCGATCTATCACCTCCCCAGACTCCTACCAAGACACCATACCACATAGACAAGCATACAAACACAGAAATCAAATATCAGTTAGAGGAAACACTCAAAATATGCATCAAAACTGCTTAGATCAGCCTAGTCATGCACTCACCTTTCAAAAAGACAGAAACAAGAACGAACAGATCACAATAATAGCAACCAAGGACTCTCCTAACACCACAGCTACGAGATCTCTCTTCCCAAGGACAGAAACACCAGGAACAAGCCTCAAAACACTTCTCAAACCTCACAAAACCTCTCTAGAGAACTTAGAAACCTTTTAGAAGAATAAAAGCGGTCCCCTCTCAACAAAACACGACTTTTACTCTTTTAAACGTGACTTAGGGTTAAACCCTAACCAAAACCACACAATTTTGCAATTAAAAAAATCGATCCAACAAACCGAAACACGCTGGTGACACCCCCAAAACGGGTCACGGGCGTTACACTTATTAATAATTATGGCCTAAGAGAACTCCTTAGAAATGTAGTAGTCATTATTTAATACTCCCTTCGTTTCTTAATAGTTGTCGTTTAAAGATTTTTACAAAAATTATCGATCAAGACATTAAAACAGTTGGGATAAAACTAGAATTTTTACCAAACATCTACAAAAAAATATCTAAATCGTATTTAACTATTTAGCTACTAAGCTCATAACACAAAAATCCATTGAACAAGGAGAAATAACTATAAAACTGAATGATAATACGTAAGGTCTCATCTATGGATTACTAGGATTGTCCATTTGGATTACTTTAATTTGTAAGAGATTAGGAGTTTTATGTGTTTATTTCTTACTTGGTTTTAGGTTGGATCTTATTATCAATTAGGCGTAGTTATAAATATGATGTTCAGTTATTTTAAAAAAAAATAATAATAAAGAAGATGAGAGTTCATATAAAAACTTATCCCTGTCTTTTCTTAAAAATAAAGATGGAGTTTAGAGATTTCAGATTTGTCATTTAATTTACCGTGACGTCTAAGTTTCGTTGTCGCTGCAACATTTAGCCCATATATAAGAAGTAAAAGATATAGATATAGAAGGGAGTGTATATTAATGTACCTGAATCATCACAAGATGGTTTTAAGGGTTGTTACAAGGCAAGAGATTATTAACATCCTGCAACACAAGCAAAAGATTTTTGTGCAATTAAGTAACGCTTCATTGTATTTGGCTGGATCTTGTCCTTCATATAATTTTATCTTTTGGGAACCAATAAAACTCAAGGCCTCTAGGTTCAATGTTGAATTTCTTGCAAAACGTTACTTTCAGACATAGTCACACAATATTGCCCGACTATAAAACAATGTGTGGAAGGACATATAATTTAGAAAAGATGGAGAGGAGCATATAAGCTTAGAACGACCAACCTTATATGCAAGCATGTCAAGAAAAGTCTTCATCTTAATGGAATACCATTTTGGAAACTGATCAAGAAACCAAGAGAAGCAAAATCATATCTCACAAATAACCAAACTGCTCAAAGGAAGCCGAGCATTATCAACCCTGTAAGTGTAATATCCATCAATAACAAGAAAAAAACAAGAACAGGTTCTCAGGGTGAAAAGAACAACCGCAAAAGATTTAAGATTGATTGGTCATTGGATCTGACATTGAGCTACCTTTCTCTGTCTCGTAAAGAAATTTTTCTTACTACTGGCTAAAGGCATGTGAGGTAAGTTACTAACCTTAATGATTTTTTTTTTCGGTTTTCTCTTCAGCCTTTTACATCCTTCCATATATATCACCTTATTCAAATAATATGCAAACATGTCTACCTTTGTCTAAAACTGCATACAAATAGTTAAGTTACAAAAGATTTGAAATTGATTGGTCATTCAATCAGATATTGAGATCTAACTTTGTCTATAACAATGTCTTGTTGTTATTGACTGGCAACATGTGAGGTAAGTTACTAACCTTAGTGACATTGTTGGCTTTCTTTTCCTTAACAATCCGGAGAGATTCTTTATCCTCTTCTTCTAAGTTATATCTCCATGTTCAATAATATGCAAACAAGTTTGATATTTGTTTATCAACTTTTCATTGCTTCAAAAAATTGATATGGGACAAGAACTTTTCTTACTGATCCTTCTGTTCTACTGAAAAGTTCATCTATTCTTCTTCATTATTCATCTTTGCAACCTGTACTCACAATTCTTCCGCACAAATTAGCTTCAAGAGTTCAAATTACTATAATAACTTAATCTCAAATTCTCGTAAAGCAGCACTCCTCTCGTAATTAACCTTTTTCAAGTGTTGACTTCAACTCATAGATCTTTGGCTTTACCTCAGTGGACACACTGCCAGAAAGATATACATGGAATAAGGATTTAGATACGATTCAATTGTCAAACTAACTATACTCACAGAGCATTAGAACCATGGAGTTTATTACATCTTCTTGGGCAGAAAAGTGAATCTGCAAATCAAAAGCAGGGATATGGTCACAATCCTTACATACCAAAGTTAAATTATGAATATCAACTGAGTGCTTCAGAGTTAAGATAGAACAACTAAACTCAACAAGCTTCATTTCTAGAATACATTTGTCTAGCTTAGGCCAACTGCTCTGACTTAATATTGATTCTAAGCTTAGTTAAAGACAGTTATACTTTATCTGATTTTGTATAAACACTATGAAATCGCATCAAAGCTGTTGTATATTTTGGGGGAAAACACCGTATTCAAACCTTGTTCCAAAGAATCCATGAGGTAGTCCCGAATCTGGTTGCAACTAAACACAATGTCTCAATCCATGAAAATAAACCATAAAAACCAAATAAGATGACATACATCCATAAACCATTAAAACCAAGACCAGAACATGTCTATAGATTTACCATGCAAAAATGTTCCACAAATTTATTTATTGCAAAATCCAGTATAGTCTACAAATGAAATAGTGTACCATCACTGAAATTACCATATGCATCAGAAATAATCACGAGATCAGATAAGTGACAACTTACAAGTGGAGTTCTCTTGTTTTACTCCCACTGCTTATAGATTTCAGAAAATGAATGATAAGCTTTAATAACAAAACAACATTGTAAATGGCAGATAGATTAGCTAATTTGTGGTAGATCATGCTATAATGTAATCAAACATTCATTTCAAACTACAAAATAAAAGAGAATAAAAGGTTCATGTTCCTTTACCTTTTAGTGTCATATGAAGAGACACTAATCTTTCATTCACCAGAGACACCTCGATAATTTTCATTATGTCATATAAAAAACGAAAGAAAAGAGAGAATATAAGCAAAACTATTACTTACCTGCTTCTTTTTTTTTCCAGTGAATCTTCTAATTGAGGAAGCTCTTCTGTGTAGAATCTCTCCTGATATTACAAGGGAAGGTGTTAAGTTTTGAGTAAATGTTGCCATCTTATTAACAGTGCTCTCATAATGTTTGCTTACTTAGTTGTTCCTTTCACATATAGAGTCTCTCATTGTCCTCCTAACTAAGAAATAGATAGTTACTGCATAAAAAGGAAAGAGAAGACAACTCGAAAACAAAAGATTGAAGAAACATACTTTGGAGAAGGATTCAACTTAAGAAAAAAGAAGATAATGCACAACCATTTCAGCTGTTGCAATAGACCTGAAATAAAAACGTCTAAGAGGTATGTGCTATTATATGGTTCCAGTTAGAGAACACAATAAACCATCAAAACCTCAAGAGACAAACGTGTTTTTACTGATTTCGAATGCTTTTTCCACATATTTGTTTCTTGCTGCAGTTTTTTGTCTTTTCTCTAGAACTTCATCTTTCTTAGCTAGGGACTGCAGTATACAAATGAAATAGAGTGCAATCAGTGGCAGTATACACCAGTACTGACTAACATTACACAAAATTAAATTGCCCTATGACTTAGAAATAATCAAGAGAGCAATAAAACAAATTACAACTTACAAGTGGATTTCTTGGCTGGTTGGATCGCCTTGTTTTTCTCCACGATGAAGTTATTCTAGAAACGTCTAGAACTGCTTACATGCTCTAGAAAATGAATGATGAGCTTTAACTACAACACTTGGCAACTTTTTGATCATTCAGTCAAACCTAACATTGTAAAGAAGCAGATATAGATAAGTTAACTTGTAGTGGATCTTAGTAAAATGCAATTAATCTTTCATTTAAACTATATAGCATAAAGGGACATGTTCGTGAATTTCAAAAGTATTGAAACACTAAAGACCTTTTCACTAGTTTCAAATGAAGAAAAATTATCTATCACTCATCTTAGGCTTTTTTCCTCTAGGAAGGAGCCGAGAAGTTTCCACAATGTTTGCTGAAGTTTCCACAGAATTTGCATACAAAGAAAAGAGAAAGTATGAATAGACGTAAGGTTATTACTTACCTTGAGTGATTCTTCCAACTGAGCAAGCTTTTCTTTGTAGAACCTCTCCTATTCAGGCTTCTTTGTCATCTTATTAACAGTGGTTTCATAAAGGAGTTTGTTGGCTTACTTAGTTGCTCATATCGTATATAGAGCTTCTCCTTGTCCTCCTCAAACTTGGAAATAGAGTCTAGCAAGCAGAATCACATGTTCATTACTTAGCTAATGAATGAAAACTTTGTGGCACCGTACACTAGTAATCTTTAAGGGTGAGAGAGGACAATTGAAAGAATACCTTTTAGTTCATTAATTTGTGATGAAACTCCTCAAACTTGGATAAATTTATCCTACACGATACTCACACTGCAAATATGGATCATGTCAGCTCTTTGTTCCTTTCTAAAGACTACAAAATTTAAGTATCACCTTTTGATCTTTTGTTCAGACCTCCTTTGAAGTCTTTGACTTCCAACAATATCCATACCAGCAAGGCAGTAACATAGCCTTTGTTTCTCAAGTTTTGACTTCACATGGCCAGAAAGATATACAAGAATTAAAGTAAGATTCAGCTGTCACTTACAGAGCATTAGAACCATGGAGTTTGTTTCATCTTCTCTGAATCTGCAGATCAAAAGCAGGATTATTCTTTAAATGATTTCCTGAAACAGTTAGTGACAAAATTCATACTACGAAATACCAAAATTAACTAAGCGCTTCAGATTTGAGGAACAAAATACAGAACTTATTAACTTTCCATATCTATAGAATCTAACTTGTCTGACTTTTATATTGATGACTAAGCCTAGTTAAGACAGTTATACGTTACCTGGTTTGGTATAGAAACTATAACATGGAATCGAACTGCTGTATATTTTGGGGAAAGCACAGTACTCAAACCCTGAAAACTAAAAACCAACAAATAAAATATTTAGAGAGAAGAATGATCGTATAACAGTTGTTCCCACATACACACAAAAGAGTAAATGAGGATGCGGAATTTTACTTGACAGATCACGCTCTCAAGAGTCTCCATCTGTAAAGTATTATTATAACTATCAAAGCAAAATACATAATTTGTTATATGTAAAATTAGACTGAGACAGTTAGTGAGCAAATAAGCACACGCAAGTTAAGGACATGGAAAGTAAATGGTAATGAAACAATGGATGACGAAACAAAAGAAGGAAGCAAGTAGCAATTATGAAAGTGTACAATCAAGAAACAAAGAAACAGAGAATCAAGGAAGAAGATAAAGAATCAGAGAAACAGAGAAGCAAGGAAACAAGGAAGAAGACAAAGTATGAAAGTGTACAATCAAGAAACAAAGAAACAGAAAAGCAAGGAAACAAGGACGACGACAAAGAATCAAAGAAACAGAGAAGCAAGGAAACAAGGAAGAAAACAAAGAAACAGAGAAGCAAGGAAACAAGGAAGAAGACAATGAATCAGAGAAACAGAGAAGCAAAGGAAACAACCAAGAAGACAATGAATCAGAGAAACAGGGAAACAAGGAAACAAGGAATCAAGAATGTATGTATGTAAACAAGTAAATATACAAAGAATCAAAGAAGAAAAGAAATAACAACACGCAAGGAACTAAGGAATGGTGACAAACGAAAATTGAGGAAGCAAAGTAAAATAGTTAACAAAGATCCATAACCTCTGTGTATCCTCCACCACTGTCGCTTCGTTTTAGACCATGAAGCACTTTCTTTCACGTTCATCTTCAAAAGTAATTCAAGATACCAACATAACATGCACAAAGAGATGATGAACAAAATCAATCAGAAGTGTATAAATAGACTAAGAGAAATATATGCCTCTATTCTCAGGTTTGTGCCTCAAAAACCCTAGATCTGTACGATTAGTCAATTCTGCAAACCCTAAAATAAAAAAGAGGATTGGAGGAAGAAACCTAACCAGATCACCACGAGGAAGAAGAACCCAAACATACTGTAACAGTTTCGTGCCTGAATCAAACCAAAACCAAAACCCTAGATCAATTCAAACATATATAAGAACCGATCAAACCTTTGAATTAAAACCGAAAGGTTCAAGTTCATAACGTAAGTAAGCGTAACACTGAAAGAATCACAAAGACTCTTAAGGTTCAAGTTCATAATCTAGGAAGATCAAAGATGATTTACGTTACTTACGAATATGTTCGTTAGGGTTCAATTCCTTCACGATTCAACTTCTGATCTATCTTCACGATTAGAGTTCCTCCTCCGCCGTCTGTCGCCGTGTCGTCGGTTCTTCTTCGTCGACAAGTTCCGTCGTATTCTATATTAGAATCCCACATGACCGTTGCGTTGTGAAGAGACTTGTTTCTCTGAGTCAAAATTGGATACTTTTTTGGATTTAAATAAAGTTTCACGTCCACGAGATATGACCGTTTTTTTTGAAGAGTGATGACGTGTCGTTACTTAAAGTAAACCACAAAAACATGTTAAACCAAACCAATCTTCGGTTAAATTAAAAGTCATACATAACCGATACTTTCTTTCTACGGTTGTGTAATAAAAGTCAATCATGTTCATTTATTTCACAGTGCGTCTTACTCAAGTCAAGAAGATGACTGGGTTTGTTACAAAACACTTCTCAAACGCATTTCCAGGTAACCATTTAGCTAACATAACATCTAGATTTTGGATAATGTAAATTCTGGTTACCTAAACTTAGCCATAATTCATTTTTTCGCGAATAAAATTTAAACTCTTTAGCAACGTACTTAGTCCTATCAATAAGCAAACAAATGGTGAAGGGGCGACGTATAAAACAGGGACGCAAGGCTCTGTTTTTGACTTGACGGAAGATGGTAGAGTGAGAACAGAGAGATATGGTGAAACGCAAGAGAAGATGGAGTGTAGAGAGGTCGGGATCGATTCCAAGAAGCGATACAAAGCTCTTGTTGGGAAGTTAAGACTTCCTCTTTTTGGTTTTTTAATAAATGCAAATCAATGTATCTTACAAGATGTTCGCAACCTCTAATTATAGAGATGCGATAGACTCTAAACGATAAAAGCCAAATGCAACAAAGATTATCCAAAATCCGAACAAATTAAGAAGAAAAGAAAGCAAAACACCTAATAACTTGATGGGCAAGAAAGCACTCGATAAGGCCCATCAAGAAAAAGCAAACAAACTCCACTGGTGAACAAACTTTTTTGAAAAGGTCTAACTTGTCAAGCATCATGCACAAAGAACTTGTACATGCTTCGAAATGCTTTGTAGGATCTTCGCTTTGGCAGATAGTACCGTCGCTTCACCTTCCTCCATCCCATCCGGCACATACAACTCCACCCTTTTCAGCACACCTCTAGGCTCACCGCCCTCACGAATCAAATACCTCAGTATATTCAACTCATTCACAGTACCACCAAAGTTCCTAACCACCACGAGCTTTAGTGACCTCCTTAGACACCTATAAGTCACGTCTTCCATCCAAAATGTATCTGGATTGATGCCACCATAGTTCAGAACCTTCTACAAAATAAATAAACAACATTAATCATGTGCTTTATTAAATAAACGTTACTATACTCTTTTGATAAATTGCATATATAGAAATTATACCGGGACAGGGTTTGGAGGAAGGATTTCTAAAGTTAGAGTCTCCAAGTTAGGGCAGTTCCTTAAAAGCATCTTAATTCCAATAAATTCCTTCGTATGCATCTTTGTTCTCAAGACCAAATGTTGTGTTTCTGCAGGTTGGAGGTAATAGTCTGGTTCGTGACATTCCGGAATAGCCTTTCATAAGAAAAGAACAAACATGTTTTAAAATATCAATAACACATCATAACAACCTGAATTTGCATAGTAGAGCTCAAGCATAGGTAACTATTAGTGGGTAAATAGTTCAAATATTCACAACTACATATCTTCAACATATTTTCTCTTCACTAGACAACAACAACAACAACTACTAGTACTACCATATCGCAAAGAATTTTAAATATTCGAAGGAACCTTAAACGAACATATAACTTACAATAAAACACTTAAAACATACCTGAAGGACATAAGGACACACAGTCAAGGTCTGAGCAGCCTTAAAATCATTGAGGTAACTAGAGATAACTTCACCTTTTGCTTCTGTTGCTAGACTTGGTTTGTCGTACACAGGCTCTGCCCCAAAATCTAAATAGACATTTCTAATTATGATCGCAGGCATTATTTCGAAGACCATCTTAGTAACTTCGCCTGAGAACTTGAAGCTGTGTATATTGGGAAGCTCAAGCAAGAAAAACACAAAACGGTTGGAATCCTCAATGACTAGCTCTCTTAACTGCCTGGCTATCAAAGTGGCCTTCAAGCCCAAACATTTGCCCCAACATTGTTTGATACTTAGACTATATAGTGGAGGGTGATTGGATACGTAAGCGTAGAGGTTTTTAAAATCCATCCAACCAATGGATAGGCTTCGTAACAATCCCATGGTTGTGAGTTTGGATGGATCAAACTCACAACAGTAAAGTGTTAGTGACTCAAGGCTTGTTAGACTGTAAAAACTTTCTGGCAAAGGAAAAAAGTAATGAAGTTTTGATACATCACCGTGGCCTCTCCACGCAGGGTTCGAAAAATCAAGAACTAACTTCTTCACACGCTTGGAGACCGCGAATTCGATTAGAGCCTCGATGGCATTCGTGAAACCCACCGGATTAGAGAAACATAACTCGATACTTTCCACAGCTTGGTGATGAGGAACTCTAGAGATCCATTTATTGATGAAGCGGAAAAAGGCAACTCATGCGTCGTATCTTGAGAACCGATCGGTGATAGAACGGCTCACGTACTCGGATTCCTTGAAGGAAATGTTCTTTTGCTCATGGCAGAGATACCTCCACCTCCTGGAGATACCACTGGTTCTTACACATTCCTTGAACGACAAGTAAGAGATTATCGTAAGTAAAAGAACGTCGGGAAGACAATGGAACATGTCTTGTTCATTTGGATTCATTGTAAGAGAAATTGTGGTGAGTTTCGGAAGAAGAGATGTGTGTTGTGAAATGATCCAAATGGCTTGAACCTGATAGAGCCTGTGTTAGCTTCTCTATATAATCTTTGTAAAGGGTCTTTGATATTTTTCTTTTTTTGATATGGAATGTTTTTTATAAAGGGAGAGAGACGTGTTGAATAAAAATTTTACATGTGTCTTAGTAACTCTGAATTAAAGGGTGAAGATAAAAATCTCAAAAAAGGAAGATAATCTTAAGAAAATAAATACATATTAGCATACATTGAGAAAACAACGGTAATAAATCAGTCCAGAAACATTGGCTTGGTTGATACGAAATTAATGAATCTTTGACCTCATCTTATAGTTATTATTTGGTTCTGTCTTAAGTGGCTTGGTTACTTTGTTTCTTCCTATGTTTTGGTTTGGTTACTTTTACACCGGTTTAGCTCAGCTTTGATTTTAGTTTTGTACCTAAACAAAAATAAGAGAGAAGTTGGGTGCGTGAGATCAACATGCGGCGCGTGAGACCACCTCCCGGCGATTTCTCTCTCAAATCTCTTCTTCTTCTAAGCACAATCTCTTGCACCGTCGGTGGGGGTCTTCCGTTGATTCGAGCGATGATGATTACTCTATGGCTCATGGTACTTCAATCATGATCTGCTGCATCTTCTCTTCTAAACAAACCAAGCACAACCAAGGGAGAAGTGGAGATGAGAAGCTTTTGTGAGACATTATTCATGATTTCGGTGGTGTAGCAGCGCAAAGTGGAAGCTAGAGGAAGACTTCACGGCGAGGAATGAGGAAGAAGACGGTTATATCTGGGGACTAGAGATCCTAGAGGCTTCATGAGGCTGATGTTCGATGGGGGAGGTCCACTCCGGCCCGGTGAAGCCAAACCACTATCGATAGATTCCAGATCTACTCCCAACTGCCTTCAATCTTACAGTCAAACCTGAAATTTTCTCGACAACAAACAACTTGGGTCCTTCCTCTTTCTTAAAACTTCTCTACGGTGGCAAAGAGGTAAACCAATCCTTGATCACCTCCTCCGTTTTATCCGCGACGTCCAAGCACACCAGAGAACCTGTTCCGACGTGGATCGACAGATCTGAACGGCGGCTGCAACGTGTTCTACGTTTGCATATTAGGGTTTTGCAGTAATCGGTTAGATTTGGTTTTCTAAAATCGGTTCTGTTTTGTTTTTTGATTGGTTTAGCTAGGTTTGATGTTTTAGACCGAGTCCTAATGGGTTATTGTATGGGCCTATTTCTGGAAATAATAAGTATGGGCCTATTTCTGGAAATAATTGCAAACACTTTTATAAAATAAAAAAAAATAAAAAAATTATTCAAAATTAATGAAATTTGGTAAATATCGACGATTGAATATTTATAATTTTTCTTTTTTCTCCTATGTTCCTAATGTATCTCTTCTGCTTTGAATAACGATGTTATTGGTTCTATTTAATAAAGTATTGCAGTGTTAAAAAATGTGTACTATTAACATCTTACTGGTGTTATTATCAGGAAAAACCCATAAAAATATATCATCTATTCTTTTCCTAGCCATTTTGTTTATAATACATGAACAATTTTTGTTTGAAGAAAGTATATTTGATTTAAAAATAATTTAATCTAAAATTGTTGGTGAATTCAAACCTATGTTTTTGAGTTTGTGTAGTTATAGTCAGAGCCATAAAATTTGGGACAGGGAGGAGAAGCTGAGAAAGCTAAATGAACGGGAAAAAACCGCCAACCCATGCTTTAAAAGCTGTTAACGGGCGTTACAGAATCCGTAAACAACGTCAAAGTTTTATGGAAAAAAAACCTGAAAATATCTTATCTAATTTTTCTTTGGACGTTTAATACCTTAGATTTTTACCAACTAAGATATTCTTTCTAACACCCTAAAGACACTTTTCTTTTATTAATATTCTTGTTTTTCAAGAACTACTATAGAGCTCTCATAGTTGGAGGTGCTCTTAGGTAGGGTTGTTGGTTATTTATGTGACTATGAGCGGCAATTTCTGTGTTCGAGTCTATACATCTATAGTTTTTTTTGTTTTCCATTTTTTTTCCTTTCACATATGTTTTTCCTCTTTTTTATTTATTCATTATTTTTGGTTTAATTCTCTTTTCAACAATAAAATTTTCAAATATTTCATCATTTATAATATTCAACTTCTTCAAAAAAAAGTTAAACGATGAATTTGTTGTGATAAAAAGTAAAAAAGTTGATTTTAAGATTGTTTTACATTATTAAAGTATTTACTAATGTTTCCTAATTTTTTAAAAAAATATTTCAATATTTTAATAAATTTTTTCATTAACCTTTATATAAATAATCATATTATTTAACTATGATTTAGGCCACTAGAATGCAAGGACCGACACTGGAAACAAAAATGACTGCGGCGATGGATTCGTTGTTTCCGCGGTCATGGAGTAGACTAGTTCAGAGATGGAAAAGGGTTTGCGTAAAAGTGGAGAGATTCTACAAATTAGGTAATTCATTTGTTACTACCAAAGCACTTTAAAAGAAATTTTCTTAAATGTCACTAAAATGAGTATTTTTAAAAAGTTACGTCGTTTATGAATTTTGTAACCCTTTTCAACGGCTATTATACCGTGGCTTCAAATCCACCAAAAATAAAGTTTTGTAAAATAAATATATTTAAATAGTATAAGTTGTTTTTCTTCTAACTATAAAATTCAGGTATTAATGTCAAAAATAACAACAGGAATATTTTTCCGATTTTCTCTTATTGTTATCTATGGTTCACATTTCACATCATTACGTACAAGTCCTCCTTATTACCTAGGCTCAAGTTATTTGTAAATAGAACAAAAACGGAGAACATAACTATATATAAGACAAAGATAAACAAAACTCGATAGTGAGAAGTCTTGAATAGGTCAAAACTTATTCAAGGATCGGATCGTGTAATATCTTGGCTCCATCCTTCTGCTATAAAGGTTAACTCTTTCCAACAATGTCACATCTTGACTGAATAAGAAAACTTCATACATAAACGACCTAGAAAACATATGACTTAACGTAATTTAATATAAATGATGAGATTTAGGAAAATAATCTTTCACTAACAATGTGACCTATTCTTTTCAATACTCTATAGTATAATCTTTCCGAGAAAATGCTTCGACGTAGCATATCAAAATAATCGAGGAGAAGCTTAGTATATAGTATTGAAAAGAATAGTCACATTGTTATGAATGTCTTTTTCATCCAAAAGCTCATCATTTATATTGCATTACGCTATGGGCATCGCTAAGATTTGCTTAAGAGGCTTCCAATAATGATGGTCTAAGTCCTAGCTCATATATTTTCTAACTAGGTCATTTTAACGAGCTAAATGTATAAAGTTTTTGATTCAGTCAAGATGAAATGCATCCTTATTCTAAAGCATTTTAAGAAGAATATTAAGAGACTAACATAGTGTGGGTACTTTTGTATGTCGTAGATTAAGAGACTATTAAGAGACTAACATATTATTCATTTGAGCCATAGATAATAGTATCAATAAGATGTTAAATACATATTTAAATTTAAATATATTTAATAAATTTTCTTTATTCTTTGAAAATTAATAGTGGCCACTTAAGTCAGAACCAAATAATATCTTGGAAGAGATGAGTCGTGGCTATGTGGCAAACCTAATCCTATAAGATGAGGTCAAAAATTCATTAATTTTGTATCAACCCAAAACTATGTCACTGGATTGATTTACAGTTGTTTTCTCACTGTCATATTCTAATATTTAGATTAACTTCCATTTTGGGGTTTATATATTTCTATGTTCGCCCTTATTCAAAGTTACTACGACATTTGTGATAAGTATTATTCAACAAGTGATAAAAACCTTCCATATCAAAAAAATAAAATATCAAGACCTTTAGAATATATAGAGAAGCTAACAGTCTCTGTCAGGTTCAAGCCATTTGGATCATTTCGCAAACACATCTCCTTCTTTTGAAACTCACTACCTTTCTCTTGCAATGGCTCCAAATGGACAAGACATATTCGATTGTCTTCCCGACGTTCTTTTACTTACGATAATCTCTTACTTGTCGTTCAAGGAATGTGTAAGAACCAGTGGTATCTCCAGGAGGTGGAGGTATATCTGCTACCAGATCAAGGACATTTCATTCAAGGAATCCGAGTACGTGAGCAGTTCTATCACCGATCCGTTTTCAAGATACAGCGCTTGGATCTCCTTCTTTAGCTTCATTGATACTTGGATCTCTAGAGTTCCTCATCATCAAGTCGTGGAAAGTATCGAGTTCTGTTTCCCTAGTCCGCTGGGTTTCCCGAATGCTATCGAGGATCTAATCGAATTCGCGGTCTCCAAGCGTGTGAAGAAGCTAGTTCTTGACTTTACCAATCCTGCGTGGAGAGGCTACGGTGATGTATCAAATCTTTTTTTCTTCTTTAAATTGCCAGAATGTGTTTACGGTCTAACAAGCCTTGAGTCACTAACAATCTACGGGTGTGAGTTCGATCCCTCTAAACTCACAACCAAGGGATTGTTAAGAAGCCTATCCGTTGGTTGGATGAGGCTTGAAGACCTCTACGTGTTCTTATCTAATTATCCTTCCCTCTATAGTCTAAGTATCAAACAATGTTGGGAGGTTGATATCACTTTGATAGCCGGGCAGTACTTAAGAGAGCTAGTCATTGAGAATTCCGACTTCTTTCACATGCATATCTCTTTCAACCTGCCAATGATACTCAGCTTCAAGTACACAGGCCAAATCATTGACTTGTATTTCGAGAAAATGCCTGCGGTCATAAGAAATGTGTATTTAGATTTTGGGGGAGAGCTTGAGTACAACAAACCAAATCGAACCTCGCGTATAATGGGTGCAGTTATCTCTGGCTACTTCAATGATGGTCTTAGAGATGCTCAAACCTTGACTGTGTGTCCTTATCTCCTTCAGGTATGTTTTTAAGTGTTTATATTCTTTAGATTACATTTTCATAGTAAGTTGTATGTTCATTTAAGGAATCCTTCGTATATTAATATTCTTCGCGATATGGTAGTAGTTGTTGTTGTAGTCTAGTGAGGAGAACATATGTTGAAGATATAGTTGTTGTAGTCTAGTGAAGAGAACATATGTTGAAGATATAGTTGTTGTATAGAATAGATGAAAGATATTTATCATGCTAAGTGTGAATATTTAGGTTTATAAGTTACTACGTTAGAAGGTTTTGATGTGTTGTTGATATTTTAATATGTTTTTTTCTTTTCTTATGGAAGGCTATTCCGGAATGTGACAATCCATACTATTACCTCCATCCTGTGGAAACACAACATTTGGTCTTGAGAACAAAGTTGCATACGAAGGAGTTCAATGGAATTAGGATGCTTTTAAGGAACTGCCCTAACTTGGAGAGTGTAACTTTGGATATGCTTCCTCCAAACCCTGTCCCGGTATGATTTCTATATATGCACTTTATCAAATGAGTATAGTAACGTTTATTTAAAAATGCAAATGATTAATTTTGTTTATATATTTTGTAGAAGTTTCTGAACTATGGTGGCATCAATCCAGACACATTTTGGATGGAAGACGTGACTTATAAGTGTATAAGGAGGTCACTAAAGCTCGTGGTGGTTAGGAACTTTGGTGGTACTGTGAATGAGTTGAATATACTGAGGTATTTGATTCGTGAGGGCAGTGAGCCTAGAGGTGTGCTGAAAAGGGTGGAGTTGTATGTGCCGGATGGGATGGAGGAAGGTGAAGCGACGGTACTATCCGCCAAAGCGAAGATGCTCCAAAGCATTTCGAAGCATGTTCAAGTTCTTTGTGCTTGATGCTTGATAAGTTCGACCTTTTTCAAAAGTTGGTTCACCAGTGGATTTTGTTTGCTTATTTTGGGATTTTTTTTGAGTTTTATTTTGTTGAACATTAAGGAAGTGAGTCTTCCGTTGCTTTGCTTTGTTTGATTTCTGTTTAGGAGCCTCGGTGAACGAGGAATTTATCTATGTGAACCCAAATAAATGATAACTTTTGTTATTCCAATTCTCTCTATTGTGCTAGTGTCTCCTAGTTTCTACTTTCTGTGAAGATTTTGTAGTAAATTGGAATTTGATTTAGGGAGTTTTAAGCTAAATTGTGACTCATGTGCTTTTTTTGCTAGGTTAGAACTCGGTACATCATGATAGGACTAAGTACATTGCTAAAGAGTTTACTTTTATTCGCGGAAAATGAATTATGGTTAAGTTTAGACTTAAGAAAAAGGGAGACTACATCTATACTTGTGTTATTCTTCATGTTAGACTTAAGAAAAGAACAAATTTAAGGTTCGTATTTACTCAAGAACATAATGCGAAAGAGATAAGTTTACTTGTCATTGCCAAGATTAGTTTCAAGAATCGGTTGTATCAAAGGGTTTAAGACCAAAAGTTTAATGTAATTGAAGATGAACTTATTTATCATTTGCAAGTTACATTTGTAAGCAATTAATTCGTCCTTTTATAACTTAGCAAATTTGATTTTAAAAGTACTTTTGTTTGTATCTTTCTTCACAACCCAAAGTATTAAAACATTAAAGAAGATGATTACAGCAATCTCCAATTAAAGTAAACTGTAGAACATAATCTTTCTACTAATTTGGAGAAAAGAGCATATAATTAAGTCCTACACTATAGAAGAAGACATAGTCCAAGTGACTCTTGATCTGCTTGTGCTTAGCTTAATTAAGCCATGATATATCACAAACATTCATCAAATCTAGTTGCAACGCAATCTAATCACTTCAATCTAATTCAACTTTTTAAACTTTTTGTGTAGTTTTGTCTTGGACTCATACTTTCTCTATGTATCCATCCATCACGTTCTAAACGTTGTACCTACTTGAATGTCAAAATGCATCATAATATTATTGCTACATATCGTGATGAAATTTATTTCTTTTCTTTAATGAAGCATTATTTGTAAAACCATACAATATAATGAAGTGTTGAATAAAAGATCTAGTTGAAGTTTGTTTACTCTCAAAGCTGAAGTGTCTGTCTCGTTACACATTATGATTTTACTAGTTGAGAAAAACTTTAAAACCATATATATAACGAATTTAAAATTTTATTTTTATTCAAGACTTGACATTTTGTAACCAAATTCTAATGTTTCAATGGGATATCAAGTATCACTTGGTCAGGATACTCCTTTGCATTCCCTTTAGGATTCTCTTCGAACCTCCGGAGACTAAACTGCTTCATATCAACTCCTTCTCCTTTGGCCTCTCCCTCTGTCGCCATATCCGCCAGTATCCTCCCTACCGCCGGTGCCATCTTGAACCCATGGCCGGAAAACCCTCCCCCGACCACTACATCTCTCCCTAACTCCCCTCCAAGAAAATCAATCACGAAATCCTCGTCCGGGGTCATCGAATACATACAAAGCTGAGTCGCCACGGGTCCTTCCGAATCAACCATCCCTCCAAATCTCTCCTTTATCCACTCTTTAAGCTCCTCTAGCTTAACTCCTGGTCCCCATGGCCTCTTATCCGGATCACACCAGTACCCACCGTGAACCGCCACTTTGATCAGTCCCGGATACTCCAAGGACGGAGTTCCGTACACGTACGGAGCTCCATATGACGCAAAAGTCGGAAACTCCCCGTCGATCGTGAATTTCTCCTCGTGGCCTTCTTTGATCCTCCAGTAACAAACCGTCGTCTCAAGCGGCTCCACGGGAAAATCTATCTCGGCCACAGTTTTCACCAGCTTACTTATCCATGCACCCGCGGTAACAATGCATTTTTTACCGTAGAACTTATCTCCTTTCACCGTGGATACTATGACCCCTTCCCCGTTTTCACCGTCTCTCTTTATGTTTGCAACTTTGGTGTTGTCTCTTAAGACGGCTCCATGTCCAAACGCGAGCGTTTGAAACATGGAGACGGCCTTGGTGGGTTTAATAACCCCACCAAGTTCCGTCGAAACTCCGATCCAGTTCTCCGGGATATTAATCCTCCCGGAGAAATGCTCGGAAACAGCTCGAGAGTCCATAACCCGATGAGCTAACCCGTGTTTTTGACACGTAGCGACAACAGAGAGAAGACTCTGCTGATCAGCAGGACCCATGTCAAACTGTTGAGTTGGGAAATGAACTTTGTATCCAATCTCGGACTGAGCCTCAGCCCATAACCGAGTCGACTCCGTAACCATGGCGAAGTAGTAATCCTCCGGGTAAGTAGCACGTATGGTACGTGACTCGCCGTGGGAAGAGCCACGGTGGTGGAGGAAATCAAACTGCTCTAAAAGGAGAGTCTTATGACCTCTCTTGGCCAGCCGGTACGCGGCAGAGCTTCCCATAACTCCTGCTCCGACGATAATCACGTCGAATCTTTGGTCGCCGGAATATTCCATGAGGAAGTGAGAGAAGAAGGAGACAAATAAAAGGGAGATAGAGAAGAGAGTTGAGTTTGATGTCAGAGAGAAGCATATGGTTTTTATTGTTCCTCTGCTCTTTAAAAAGCCAGTTTTGTAATCACGAGATTCACGACACAGCTCTGCCCCCTTTGCTCGTGTCACTATCTTACTGAACTTTCATATGATATTAACTAGAAGACGGCGTTATATACTATGCAAAAAACATGCTAGTTAATTAACGTTATTTGTAAGATATATTTGCGAAATTAACATCTAATTTATTTACAATTGCAAATAAACCTCAATATTTTTGCTATCTAGCTACCAAAAGAAACCTAATTTTGGCTACCTACCAAATAAGCCTTAAATAATTTAGGGATCCCTAAATAAACCTAATTTATTCCAATTCTCTCTATTTTTTTTTCTTCAGAAATAATAAGATATTAATTCCAAAACTTTTTTTTTTTTGTAAAAAGATATTTTTTTTTTTGTTTTTTATTGGGTGAAACAACGTATTCTATGTTCTCGAATGTTAGAAGAAAAAAAATATACAAACCAATGAATGAGTGACACATGATGATATTTTCAGTTTCAGATCAGATAAGCGAAGACAAACGTGTTCTATACTTATATATAATAGAGTAATATATATAAAAAAAATTATTCGCCAATGGAATATAGATAAAACTAGTTGGAAATTTAAGTTTCAATAAAATGCAAAAAAAAAAAACTTGTCAATAAATAAAGTCATGAAACTAATATGGTTGTCACTATATTAGACATTTCAATTTCACGATCTTTAAAACAAAAATTAAAGTAAAATGAAGGGATGATAAGGATGACATATAGAGATCATGAAAATGTGATGGTGAAGTTCTTGACCAATATTGTATTCTTAGAGGGAATATGGTGGAATAAATATAAGAGTCACCTCGCTCTTTTTTCTTAGTGCTCTCACCATTCGTTTTTTCTTTTCTTATCCATTGGTTATTAGTTTATTAATTACTAAAATCTAACATTTCCATTATGGACGCTCAAAAATGGAATATATTTAGCAATTTGTTGGAACCACTTGTAACAATTATAAAATCATACATGTTGCCTATTTGAATCACTTTTTCTTTTGTCCATCTTTTAGGAATAAAGTAGAATAAAAATCGAAAGTAATGTTTCTTACTTGTATGATTTATGTTATGTCATTTGTAAGAGGGTCGGTTAATTACACTATAATTGGTATAAGATGTCAATACTAAACATAGAAGTAGTGCATGATTCATTTCTTGACCTATATAAAAACAATATTATAGATCGGTCTTTCTGTTTTTGACAAAATAATTACTTAATTTATTTCAAATAAGCTAATTTTGTGGAATATTTCGAACATACAAAAAATAACGCGGTTTATCAAAAAAAGCAGAAAATTCTTCTTTGTCGCTCTGAATTTTTTCTCTAAAATAAAAATTTGTCTAAAAATTTATCGATCATAATAATTTATATATATAGCAATTTCGAGGAAATAGGTCGTTATTGAGTGCCATCTTTAAAATCATCAATTGAACTTGTCACCATCTCAATAGAAAAAAGGAGAAAAGGAATAATTGTTTGTTGTCGTCATACTTCAAACTCCAAGTGGATACTTGAAGACGACATCTCAATAATACACAACAAAATAATCTAATCCTCTCAATGAATGGAGTCTTGGTTCAAGGAAGGTGCGCACTAAATCATAAATAAATAACTACAAAGAAATAAAATATAATTGCTTTTGGGAATGCTTGGATATTATTGGTTTAATCCCAAACTAATATCTGAATATTATACATTGTCACGTCAGTGTTTTTTTGTTGTTAAGTGAACCTATCTGAAAAGTGAAACTTAGAGCATGATTAATCGATAAAAGCTTTTCTTAACAAAAAAATTTAAGTTAAAAGTCCTCTGTTAATTATGGTCTTAGGCCAGTTTTAATGGCAGAATCTTACTTTATAATGTAGTTTTTGCCTCTAAGATTCTGCCATTAAAACTAATCTTAAAAATCGGATAAAAGTTCGAAACTACGAATTAGCCTTACGTCTTTTCAGACTAGAACCATGGATTGGATTATATGGTAAATGTTTATTTTAAATATTGTGATTTAACTAGGTAAATAGATATGAAAGAATTGGGAATTTGGGAGAATGAAAATTTTCTTTTATATTAAATGTTTGACAATGATCATGTCGTGAATAACCTCTTCTTTAAAAATAGACTAGGGTTTTTGTTTTAGTATACAACAACAACGTGAATGAATACACCATATTTCAATGATCTCCACAAATATTTTACATTATATTTACATTTAGATATCCTACATTGCACGTGGACAATTATTAGAAACTAGGTTTTAACCCGCGGTACACCGCGGGATGATTGTTTTGACTAAAATATATATATATTTAAATTATATTTGTTAATTTTATTACCTTTTTAGTGTTTAAGATTGTGTAATTGTATTTTTGATTGTTATTTTTATTACTTAACTCGCGAGATATTTTTTTGTAACTGGCGGGACTTAAAGAATATGTTTAAGTTATATTTGTTATTTTTTTTGTTATGTTAACCCGTAAGATAACCCGTAAGAAAAACATAAAACTCAAACCCGTTAAATCATATTTATGTACAATACAAACCTTGAACGTTTTATAGATTTCGAGAGAGATTTTGGTTTTTGTTTTCCAAAAACTCATTTTAACCAATCAAGATTTTGAAATTTTGGATTCCCTAAAATTTAGTAAAACCTTTTTTGTTGTAATCTTTCATTCAAGATTTTGGATGTTTAAGTTTCATATTAGTCATATTTATAATGGTTCTGCACCATTGTCTAAAATTTTATACCCGATGTGGGACGTTATACATATATGTTTTTTCTTTTATTGATTGAGTAATATACGTCCGTTTTCAAAAATTCAAATTGCTACATATGTGAAAAAAAATTGTATTTTTATTATACTTATGTTTTATGTAATAATTTAAAATTTAAAACAAATAAGTTCATATACAGATATTGGAGAGATATTCAATTTATTAGGGAGACAATTTAGGAAATTTTGTTAAATATAATAAATATTAGTTTCTAATTTTGCAATTCTGGTGTAATTTAATTACAAATTTTATCTTAAAAGTTTGTTATTTATTTAAATGGCAGGGATTTATTATGCAAATAATACAAAATAAAAGGTTATTTTCCAAAAGGTACTTCAAAAATGTTAATATAGATATCAGTATCAAAAAGTTTTTTTTCATCTAAATTATTGATAAATTGCTGAATTCCTATTATATTATTTATTTTCTTTGCAGCAATGGCTAAATTGTATAATTTACTATAGGAGGAAAGATATATTATCTCACAACATCCATATGCGCGCGTTCTACGCAAAATGTCTGAAAACTAGAATGTTATATGACTGTGACAAGATTGGTTCAACAAAACAATGACGAGATAAAAGTGCAAAAATCTTTTTCATAAACGGATGAATCATATATAATTTGATGTATATTACTATGATTTAAGATAGTATTATTAATTTTAGCTTTCCTAAAATATGTAGCTTACAAGCTCATGAAAATGATTCTAGCTTTGAAAATATGTTTATTTTGCATCATTTATGACTATAAACTATTCAATCTTCCATTACTATTACTATTCTAATTTTCAGATTGCATTCTCAAAATATTATTATTACATAATTTTCATAATTCGATAAAGTACTTTTTTTTTTGTATTTGTGATGTTTTGAATAATTTTTTATTTTCTTATTTCAAATCACCTAACTTTTCCAGTCTATGTTAAATTCATAAAAACTGACTAATATTTAAGTTTTGCTTTCGAGGTATTCCTTTGTATTTACAAAATCACCATTGCTTCACTTACTTTCTTCTTATACATATCATGGCACTTACTATTCAGGTTCATCAAAATCTTGTCCATATTAGTGACTAAGTCTCCAAATTTTGCACAAACTGCTAAAGAAACGAACACTATATTTCATAAATACTTCACTTAAATTAATGGCATGGTGTATAAGGGAAACTACAAATAATAATCTACCTTGAGTTCCAAATGTTGGCCCCAAATTTTTTTTTTGAAGTATGATGATTGTCTCGGTTTATCACTGAAGTTATGCGCCTAATCGTAGACAAAGGCGACGAAAAGAAGATAAACATTGTTATTCATCTTTCATTATAAAACAATGTTCATGTTTTAAATATAAGCCTCAAATCTTAACGGTAGTATTAATTATTTATAGAGTTAACAATGTCACTTAACTAAATATAAAGTCATTTAGTCCACATTTCAGCTAAGTTAGTCAACTTTTCCTAAACCAACCCTCTCTAAATTATGTTAAACGAACATCAACTATAACATTTTTGCAACACTATTTGAAAAACCCCTTGGAGTTTAAACATATTTACATTGTTATGCCATTAACATTAATTGAAATTATTCCTAAATTAAAAAACATAAAAACCTACGTCGCGTGTTAAAACCAATGTTCAAACATGCCTAAAACCTTAAAAAGAACAAATAAAAGTACATTATCAAATTATATATACGCACATAAATTCTCAACTCTAAACTTTTTTACAACCTCTAAATTAATAATTCATAACATTTGTTAACATTAGGAACCAAACTTTTTGTTTCATAAACTTCTACAACTACAACCAAAATTATTCTGTTCAAGCTGATCAAGTTCTATATCACTATGATAAAAAAATTTTATAGTAAAATAGCATTTGAGACGAACCATCATAGTATAACTTCCACTGACATATAAAAATTAAAACATAAATATTACCCTTGCGGTGTACCGCGAATTAAATTCTTGTGATAATTAAATTTTAAGAGGAAGTTTATTGTGTAACCCGCTTTGAGTAGGCTAAGGCCATAAAAAATAGAGAGATCTTAGATGATTTCTTAGATAAATTTGTAATTAAATTAAATGTAGAAAGTAGTTTAATGAGTAAGAAAGTTTTTTATATAAGATACAAAACATGTCTAAAATACTTTTACCAATTAAATTTTTAATTTTAGTACTACTATAATATTTCTATGATACAAAATTAAAAAAACCCCTTATTGATATCCTAATGATCGTAACCGTTTTTACTCTATGAACGGTTGAGATTTGAAAAACGAAAAATCTAGAATAAATTAGTGGAAGAGCCTAATGCAGTTACGGCCCAACAATAGCCCAATACTACAATAACGAATCAGCAGCATGTTCGTAACTTTATGTTGAAGTTACGCACATTCGACATAAAGTTTAACTGGGCTGTATTGTTACATAATCTTATGAGGCCCATATAAAGCCCAAAACAAAGAATAATTTTTGAGGACTTTTAAAGTTGACCCATACTTAAAAAAACTTCCATCTTCAATCTCGAGTCGATAACCCTAATTCCCACGACGAGCGAGAGAGAGAGAAAGAGAGAAGCCGTTTCTCACACAACTCCTAGTTTCTTCAGGTAATCGCGATCTCTGTTGTCTCATTCTTGGTTCGTCTGTTCTTCGATCAAGAGATTTGATCTTTTGAATTCATCGCTTTTGAATTGAAGTTTTTGGTGTTTTGATTTTGGTAATCTTGTTTAGAGAATTGAGTTATGAGTTGTTGAATTTGATAGGTAACTTGGGAAATAATGTCGCGTGTGTATGTGGGTAATTTGGATCCGCGAGTTACTGAGCGTGAACTCGAGGATGAGTTTCGTACCTATGGTGTGATCAGGAGGTATGTAATTTTGATTCCTTTAAGCTAATTTGTAGGGCTTTGATTGATGTGAAGTGTGTGTAATATTGAATTTACTCTTCATTGTTCTTTTGGTGTTTGTGCAGTGTTTGGGTTGCTAGAAGACCACCTGGTTACGCGTTTCTTGATTTTGAAGACTCAAGGGATGCCCGTGACGCCATCCGTGAACTAGATGGTATTCATTGGTTTCCTATTTTAGAAGAAAGTGTGATCCTTTTGAATTATTACGGTGCAGATGGTCTGATGTATGAGTTACTAAGGGGGTTTAAGAGTTTAATATATGTATGCTCTGTACTGTTGTGTTAGGCAAGAATGGGTGGAGGGTAGAACAGTCTCATAACCGTGGTGGTGGTGGTGGTCGTGGAGGAGGCGGTGGTGGTCGTGGAGGTGATGGTGGCCGTGGCCGTGGTGGTTCTGATTTGAAGTGCTATGAGTGTGGTGAGTCTGGTCACTTTGCGCGTGAGTGTCGCTCACGTGGTGGCTCTGGGAGGCGTCGCAGCCGTAGCCGTAGTCGCAGTCCTCCAAGATACAGAAAGAGCCCAACTTATGGTGGACGGAGGTTATTGTCCCTCTTCTTTCTGATTGAAGACTTGTAACTAGAATCCATTGTTCTAGCTCATTGATTAACTAACTAGTCTTTTGTTTTTGCAGGAGTTACAGCCCTCGTGCAAGATCTCCTCCTCCTCCAAGGCGTCGCAGTCCTTCTCCTCGTGGTCGGTACAGTAGGTCACCACCACCTTATAGAGCACGTGATGAGGTGCCATATGCTAATGGGTAAACTCCCTTTACTCTAGAGTATATGCTATCTTGATTAATAAGTCATTGAAACTGAAGTGATGTCAAAGTACTTGTTATTTATATTAAGTGATAGTGGCATTCTATTTACATTCATATTTCTCCTCCATAGAATGTGGCTGATAATTTTTTTATTTGCAGTAATGGTCTGAAAGATGTGCGTAGAAGCCGGAGCTGAGTGTTTACTTGTCTAGATAGCAAGTAATGGGATCAGGATTCAGGAGTCGACTGTATGCTTGTGATGTCAAGAGGACGCTTAAGGGAGATTAGTATCTGTGAATTTCACTAAGAGAACATGTTTTAGCTGTGGGGTGGGTTTGATGTGCTTGCTACTTTTGAATTGCTGGGATGCTTCTTTTTGCGTTTGGCCGTAGTTGTATCTGCCTTTAGGTAAAGTACTTTTAAATATCTACCCAACTTCTTAAAAGACAAACAGAATTATGCTAAAAACCTATGTGTTTCTTTGTTTTTCTATGTGTTATGTTCTGTTGTGTCGAGGTTTCTTCGGGTTTCTACTGCTTCATTGCTTATCTGCTTCTGGCTTCTTGGTTAATTTGACTGGCCTGCTATGGGATCTTCATAATAGTTTACAACTTCTTCTGCTTCATTGCTTATATGCTTCTGGCTTCTTGGTTATTTTGATCGGCTTTGGTGTCGTCATAATAGTTTACCATCATTACTTCTGCTTCTGGCTCTTGGTCATTTAGATCAGCCTGCTTTGGGATCTTCATTATAGTTTACAACTTCTTCTGCTTCATTGCTTATCTGCTTCTGGCTTCCTGGTCATTTTGATCGCCTGCTTTGGATCTCATAATAGTTTACACCTCTACTTCTGCTCCATTGCTTATCTGCTTCTGGCTTCTTGGTTATCTTGATCGGCCTGCATTGGGATCTTCATTATAGTTTACCTCTACTCTGCTTCTGCTTCTATATGCTCTTATGTTTGAAAAACTGATGTTGTCTTCAAAACCTCTCTGGTCATTCTTTTTCGCAAACTTAAATTGGCTGAGGAGCTGCATATGCACTCTGGCAGGTACTTATTTCCTTTTAGGCTTTGAAGAAACTTGTCTCCAGTACAGCCTGTGATAATAATGTAGAGGATGTAGAATGTCTCTGCTAGGTTTAAGATGGGCCTTTTCATTTTTGATGTTCTCCTATGTTCAGGTCTTGCTATGTATGACTGCAGATGGTTCAGTTCAGTGTTTTTAAATTTCGTAATGATCACTTTACTGTTGCAATTTTTTTTAACGTAACTACGTAAGATAAGAATACCTATTCAGTTTCGTAGCAATTACATATAAACCTCAGAACCAAAATGTTCACCTTTTGAGCTTACACAATCTATTTTTTCAAGCAATTCGAACTTGATACTTGGTCATGCCAAAGACCATAGTCACTTGGTCGACAAAAAAAAAAAAAGACCATAGTCACTTGGAGTATGTAATAAAAAGCTACTTTGAAATATTTTATTTATTAAAAACAAATTTGAGAAATTAAATGAATAGTCGCATATTTGTCTTAGGAAGACTTGAAATGTCCCACTTTGGACGTGGGCAGGATGGGTGAGGGTGGGTGGGGTTCGTCATAAATTATGAACACTTTACACTATTCATAAATCTATCACGTACGATGATATTAGTTTGCACAGCACAACCATAAAACTGCTGAATTGTATCTAAGTAATTATATATATATATATATATATATATATATATATATATATATATAATTTGTGTGGTGGCTCAACTACACAATCTTTAGAAACCTTGATTTTGATATATTGAACCCTTGAGTTGTTGTTTTCTGTAATGTGAACATTTCTGAATTTCAAACAAAAGAGCGACAATCCATTTAAATTAAGGCGAGAACCGAACGATAGTTATAATATATTCATCTATAGTTAGTTATTGGATTTGTAAATATACTATTAAGAAATGTTTCTGCTAATAACTTTAAAAGTACTTGTAAATTGAAAAATAATAGAAGCCATACAAAAGTATTTTTGAATTGAAAAATAATATAAAGATGTATTAATTAATCAATTTCTTATACTCTATAATAAATCGTAACTAATAAATTTTTAGATTTAAAAAAAAAAAAATCTTTTGCACCAAGAAAAAATAAGGCTTGTAGTAACCAAAAAAACATATAATTAGGTTTTGAAGTAAACAAGTCATGTAGATAATTTGTAGAAGGTGAGTTCATTTAAACTAAGACCTTAAAGCATATTATGGGATGCTTGCTAATACATAAAAATGATGTCCTATGCCATTAACTGTTTTCTTATTAGTACAAAAAGTGAACAATGTACTAACATTTTGCAATTCTAAACTCATCTTCAAACACCTTTGACGTATTTTTCGTCGTCAATTTCTAATTATTATTTTTGTCGCCAATCATTCGTCATTAATTTCATACTGAGTTTGAGTCGTCTGTGTTGTCAAGAATCGAACTCCAAACGATAGAAGAGTCACTAACAGAGCCATAATAGAGAGATTACTTATTACAATAAAATATCAAATAAATCTAAAATTTGTAGAAAAACTCGAATCTATCAAATATATGAAATAATTTTTTTGAATACCATTTTATATAACAAAACAAATGAAATATAGCTACATTAATTTGCTACGGCCTTTTATAAATTAACCCATGTTTAAAAACAAGACCAAGGTATAACTCATTTCTCTTCAAAGCAAGGTATATAAATAACCCACATTGTAAGTAAACATTATCTTTGCTTAATTAATTTGACGTTAGATGTTATCCGATCGTCCAATTAGCACCTTAATAAAATTTTAAACATTCGGATTAGTAACACATAATATTCTTCATACACATAATTAATATTCACAAATCTGCTAGTGAATTCTGAAGAAAATAAATGACGATCCCAAGCTTCAAATGATACACTCTAGAGAGTTCTTTTTTTTTTTTTTTAACATTTTGTGATTGGTATTAAATGATACACATTGTATGGTCTCTAACAAATCATATATAAAAATGCAAAAATACTGAATCCTATACGCAACACACGAGAGATAGATAGTATGAGAGGAAGAGAGCTAGCTAAGAGAGAAGAGTCGTCGCGTCGTCTTTGTCCTTGAGAATTTGTTTTGTTTGGTCATCTCCTTAAAACAAAATTATATAAAAGAGCTTTAATGGAAGCCACGTTCTCATCTCTGTCTCTCTCTTTACAATTTCCAAGAAAACATTAAAATAAATCACAACAAACAAGTTTAGTAATACTAATTTAACTTGTTTCTTTCACTCGTTTTAACCTTCTCTTTAGTCTTTAGACTTAGTTCTAGCAGCATTACATTAGCTGTTTCTTTCTTCTGCTTCTCTCTCTCTCTTCATCTTTTGTTCTTTCACGTAAAGTCAAACCCAATAAATCTGTTACAGCCCATCTCTCCTCTCTCTCTCTCTCTCTCTCTCTCTCTCTCTCTCTGCCATTTTCTTGAAACATGAACACAACCTTCTTCTCATACTCTGATTCCTTTCTCATTGTCTAAAACAAGAAGATAGAATCTGTTCTTGATTCTTGTTTTGACAAGTCTTTAACTTACACAAAAGATGGAGTTCAAAAGAGACAATACTGTCAGGTTCTAGAATTTTTTTCATCTTTTTTGGGTTCTCTCAATATGATGATTGTATAAAAAAAAGTTGGCCAATCCCAATAAAGTTTTGATCCTTTTTAAGTTTTTTTGTTTTCACATTCTTTTATACTAAATTTATATATCTTTATATAAGTCTTTCTAATTGCATTAGTACATTGTTTTGTAATGATCAGTTCTTGATCTTATTTTTTTGTTAATTACAGATTCTATGGAGACGAGAAACAACAAACCATAGAAGTAGGAGAGAAGCGAGTAGTGCCATTGTTCAAATCAACAACGGCTCAATTTACAAAACCAGAAGTAGTACAAAAGAAGAGCAAGACACGTTTGAAAATCCCAAGATTTGGTAGATTCAAAGTGTTTCCAGAGAACTTCGAGATCGAAAGAGACAAGATTCTAGATCCTGGTGGTGATGCTGTGCTTCAATGGAACAGGATTTTTCTCTTTTGGTGTCTTGTTGCACTTTACGTCGACCCTTTGTTCTTTTTTCTCTCTTCAGTCAAACGCAATGGTCGGTCTTCTTGTATGACTACAGATTTGAAGCTTGGGATCGTTATTACTTTCTTCAGAACACTAGCAGATTTGTTCTATGTTTTGCATATTGTTATCAAATTCAGAACAGCTTATGTTTCTCGTACTTCTAGAGTGTTTGGTCGTGGTGAACTTGTTAAAGATCCTAAGTTGATTGCTAGAAGATACTTGAGATCAGATTTCATTGTTGATCTCATCGCTTGTTTGCCTCTTCCTCAGGTATATATATAAAGTTATGCAAATCTTGATTCTTCATTACCCGTGTGGCCACTTTTGAGCTTTGGTCTCAATGCTTAATCCGTGGTAGACCCACGAACTAGTTGGGACCGAAGACCGGGGCCACATGGTTTTAGTTTCTTTATAGAGTTTTTGTTTGTATTAAGAGTTTGATGGTGTCTCTATTGTTGCAGATTGTTAGCTGGTTTATTTTGCCATCAATCAGAAGCTCGCATTCAGATCATACAACAAATGCTCTTGTGCTCATAGTTCTTGTTCAATACATTCCTCGCCTTTATCTTATTTTCCCTCTTAGCGCCGAGATTATCAAAGCAACTGGAGTTGTTACAACCACTGCTTGGGCCGGTGCTGCTTACAATCTCCTCCAGTATATGCTTGCTAGCCATGTGAGTTGATTAATGCTACATTAAGTATTAGGCTACCAGCTTATATAGTAGATGCTAAGTAGCTATGTTATGTTTTCTTGAAATTATGGAACTGGAGTGAGCTTGAGGCTCAGTTTAATGTTATGTTATGTTCTTCTTATGTTTTCACATTTGTGTTGTGTAGATTCTAGGTTCGGCGTGGTATCTATTGTCAATAGAACGCCAAGCGACGTGTTGGAAAGCAGAATGTCACAAAGAATCAGGGTCTCTACCGTGTATTACGGACTACTTTGATTGTGGTACATTGAACCGTCCCACTAGGCATGTCTGGGAGAATGTAACAGTTGTCTTCAGCAATTGTGATCCTTCGAATAATATCCAGTTCACATTCGGGATTTTCGCGGATGCTCTCACGAAAAACGTGGTTTCTTCGCCTTTCTTGGAGAAATATTTGTATTGCTTATGGTTTGGACTGCAGAATCTAAGGTATTTTTATTCAATTCATTACTCTTCTTCTCATTGCTTTACTGATTCTCCTAACATAGCTTTCTTGTAAAAGTTCTTATGGACAAAACCTGAGCACAAGTACCTCTGTTCTTGAGACAATGTTTGCTATCCTGGTGGCGATCTTTGGTCTGGTTTTGTTTGCTCTTTTAATAGGAAACATGCAGGTAAAATGTTAATCTCTTTTCTTGTTATCAGTAAAATTATAGAACTGAGTCAAGAATGATTATTTTGGTTGATGTATTATAGACGTATTTGCAATCAATCACGGTGAGGCTTGAGGAGTGGAGACTGAAGAGAAGAGACACAGAAGAATGGATGGGACATAGGCTACTACCGCAGAATCTAAGAGAACGAGTGAGGCGTTTCGTGCAGTATAAATGGCTGGCGACTCGAGGCGTTGATGAAGAAACCATTCTTCATTCATTACCTGCAGATCTTCGTAGAGACATCCAACGCCATCTCTGTCTCGATCTTGTTCGTCGTGTAAGTCTATTCACCACTCAACTCCAACACATTCCAACTGGTTTGACTGGTTTTTAGTCTACTTGAGTCGGTTGTTCAGCATAAAAAGATTGTACCATTCGGTGGTTTGTGGTCTGACTCGTAGTTCTTGCGATGATCTTTCAGGTACCGCTATTTGCGCAAATGGATGATCAATTACTAGATGCGATATGTGAACGATTAGCATCATCTCTAAGCACACAAGGGAACTATATTGTACGTGAAGGTGATCCAGTGACCGAAATGCTCTTCATCATCCGTGGAAAACTCGATAGCTCGACGACTAATGGAGGCAGAACCGGTTTCTACAACTCAATCACACTCAGACCAGGAGATTTCTGCGGAGAAGAGCTTCTCGCGTGGGCATTGCTACCAAAATCAACAGTAAACTTACCATCATCAACAAGAACAGTGCGAGCCTTAGAAGAAGTTGAAGCCTTTGCTTTACAAGCAGGGGATCTCAAATTTGTGGCAAACCAATTCAGGCGTTTACATAGCAAGAAGCTGCAACACACATTCCGTTATTACTCTCACCAGTGGAGAACTTGGGCTGCTTGTTTTGTACAAGTCGCTTGGAGACGGTATAAGAGGAAACTGTTGGCCAAGAGTCTTAGCTTGGCTGAGTCATTCTCTTCTTATGACGAAGAAGAAGCTGTAGCGGTTGCTGCAACCGAGGAGATGAGTCATGAAGGATTGACACAAAGCTCTAAAGCTCGTCATCATACATCTAATGTGAAACCACACTTTGCTGCAACCATACTTGCTTCAAGATTTGCTAAGAACACAAGAAGGACGGCTCATAAGTTGAAAGATGTTGAAATACCAATGCTGCCTAAACCAGATGAGCCAGATTTCTCAGTGGATGATTGAGTTGATTAACCTGTTTTGATATAACTTTATGTGAATCTTTTTTTAAGTTAGAAAAATTCAAAAGAACTTTGCTGCATGAAGTAATTCAGAAAATGTTCAGCAGTTTGTATAAATACAGAATAATCAATCATCTGACTATTTTTATTCAGAGATCATTGGACAAGAACAAGAACATGATCATCATTAGGTTTTGGTCTCAGAGAAGCTTATCAAAGTAGATCAGTTTTGTTTTTTTATCTCATCAACTCTCACATGATTTGTATTAATGCCATTATTGAGATTCACACGTCTCTCTGGTTTATGTTTCTGCCGACACTTTCCCTCCACGTTTTGACACAGATCCAGATGAGCTCTCAAGTCAAGACAAAAATGTATTTTTCTATTCTTACTTGTTCTAGTTTTGTCGGATCAGAATCTGGTTTTTCTTCTTTAGTTATTAATTCTCAGATCAGAGAATGAAATATGAAGATAAGATGTGATAATGAATTTAAAAATAGGAAGTTTAATCAGAAACCAAAAAAAGAGAGGAAGAGCTTTAAAGAAAAAGTTCTTTCATCAGACACTAAGCCACAAGTTTCTGACTTTGGTAGAGATGCTATCTATATATAGGTGTAATAACTATAAAATTGTAGCTTAAGACTCTAACCTACCAAGGGTTTAATCACAATGGAGAGAAGTAAGTAATAAACCAAAATTAAAATCAATAAATGCCTAACAAACTATGGCTACAACAAAAGGTGGTAATAGGAGAAGGAAACTCACAGAGTTAACTGAATCTTCTTGAATCATCATATTATCTGTAGCTCTGAAGCTTCTCATCTCCTTCTTCTGATTTGGTTACTCAACTCATCTGCTCGCCTATGAGATCTAGACCCACAAGAAGAAAGGTGAGACCTTGGAACAAGAGGAAGTAGAAATGTACTCCTTGTGAGGCCAAGAGACTCCTAACTGCTGCGGTGAGCAAAAGAAAAGCTAGCGCGAGCTCTTTGTGGAATATCTTATTCGTTTTCTTCAGGGGAACTGGTTGTTTCTTCTGTTCCTCAACTTGGTTTATCTCCATCAGCTGACTGTCTGAAACTCCTCTTAGTATTTGGTTTGGCATCTTCTTGGATTCTTTATCGGTGAGGCCCAAAAGATCAGATTCTGATGATCTTCCTGCTTTCTTTGTTACAATCCATTCGTAAGAGCTACCAAGTTGGAATAATCCAGAGACCATCGCGTTGAACTTGGTGACCGACATTGTGTTCTCAAACAAGAGGTAAGGAACAATAAAAGGGAAGGACTTTGGAGCAGGAAGAATGTTGAGTAATGACATGAATATCGGTACATAGCAGATGACCCAAACAGGAAGCTCGGCTTCTGGAACAAACATGGTGATGGGAAGAATCACGCAGAACAATGTGAAGGAGTAGAAAGGAAGTATGAGTTTCCTTAGAAGGAAGAATAGAAGTATCAGATTTGCCTTCTTCCACATTGCAATCTGCAGGAAGATAAAATAAACCATTACATCACTGAAATGATCACAGATTTTGTACCAAACAACAGTTTTTATATACCTTAGAGGTCAAGATCGCTCGAAGACACAAGCGAAATAGCTGCATAGGTCCTGAGTGCCATCGATGTTGCTGCTTCTTGTATGCTTCATATGACTCAGGAACTTCACAAAGAACCTAAAAATTATTTATACTTTTAGTCAAATTTAATCAAGGTTCTTCATGAAAATGCTACAAGAAACACAATATGATAGTACCTTGACATCGTTAAGATATATGAATTTCCATCCATGGAGATGAGCCCGAACAGCTATATCCATATCCTCGACAGTTGTCCTTTCAAGCCAACCTCCAGATTCCTCAAGGGCTTTGATTCTCCACACACCAGCAGTTCCATTGAAACCAAAGAAATTCAAGAACACACCATTTACCTGCTGCTCAACCTCAAAATGAAAACACAGATTGATGTTTTGGAGACGGGTCAACAAGTTCTCGTCTTTGTTCACAAACGCCCATCTAGCCTGAACCAAACCTAGCTCAGGATTCTCCTGAAATAACATTAGCATTTACATGTTAGAAGACTCACCTAATATGGTTCTCTCATACTCTTATGACAAAACCAAACATATTCACTAATTCACCTATCTACTGACCTTGAAATGTGGAACGGTTAGTTTAAGGAAATCCGAGTTAGGTTGGAAATCCGCATCAAAAATTGCAACAAACTCGTAAGCTTCCACATAATCACAGCTCATTGCAGATTTGAGGTTACCAGCTTTGTATCCAGTTCTAACCAGGCGATGCCGGTAAATTATGTTAACACCCTTTTGGCTCCATTTAGTAACCTCAGCTCTAATTAACTGCTGGATGCTTTCATCATCTGAATCATCTAGAACCTGAATCAGTATTCGATCTTTTGGCCAGTCAAGCTGGCACACAGCAGATATAGATTGCTCATATACCTAAACAAGAATAAACATTTATGTAACTCCATTAGTCTAATACCATAGTGAAACACATAACCATTTAAAAAGATTGATACTTTGTTCTCCATACCTCTCTCTCATTGCACATTGGTATCTGAACAAGAACCATTGGATACTCAGATCCTGACCCTTCAACGTCATCATTTCGAAAAGGCGCCTCAACGATTCTCGGCTTAATCTTCTTAAACTTGATCCAAAAACAGCCTAAGCAAAGAACCAAACGATCTACAGACTGTACAAGGAACAGCACAATACAAAACTTAGAGAGAGCTTTGATTGGAGGAGCGATATAATCAGCTCTTAAACTCAACCAACCAACATAAAGCAGATGAAACAAGCTCTGGATCTCGAGTTTGCTTGTCGGGATGTGTAAATTAGGGTTCTTGAAGTAATGCCATCCTCTGTAATAAGCAACTAATTCAAACCCAAGAATAGCTAATGAAGCAGCTAAGAAGAGCTTAATAGCTGAGAAAAGCCATCTGTCTCTACCAAGTCTCTCAGAGCCAAGTGGATGAGTGAAACTTAGCCGTCTCTTGACTGAACCAAGGAGAGACCAGAACAGTGTAGCTAGCCAAGTGAGACACCCAACAGCTCTGTGAGCTTTAAGAAGCAAAACCCAAGTCACTTGCTTAGCGTTCTTGCCTCTACTCTTCTCCATTGGTTGAAAAGCACTGTCAGGTTCCTCAACTTCAACGATTGAGTAATTGGGATTCTCCATTTTCACCACTACTGGTGTACCTCTTCTCGTATCTTTCGCCCACAAATCTGAAAAATCAAACCTTGGAGCCATTTTTTCGTTGCTAAAGACCCAAATCTCAAAGAAGAAGAAGTTAAAAGACGCAAATCTCAAAGTAGAAGATTTAAGCTAAACCCATCTCGGGAAACTTAAAATGGAGTGACTTTAAGTGAGTAAATCTTCAGACTTGAGGTTAAAGGAGAAGACTTTACAAGAAATTTGAACAACCCAGATCCAAAAACTCGGATATCTAAAGACCCATTTTAGAACAACAGACAAAGAAGCAGCAACAGCTCAAAGGGGTCATTAATAGTGACCTGCGAGAGAAGAGTAAAGACAATGAGTGGCTCGGGCAGAGAGAGAGAGAAAGGTTGATACTTGGCAATGGTAGATAGAGAGAGAGAGAGAAGCAGAAGAAAAAGGTATCTAACAAGTTTGTAAAGATCCCTTACACTTTCATTTGAATGTTTCCTCTTCAGCTATACCCACAATGATGGCTTCAACATGCAAATTCATCTCCTTTTTTTCCCAAAAATCAAATTTTTATAACAACACTTCATGAATCTTTCTTATAGAGTAGCATTTTTGAAAAAGAACAACTTTTGAATAAAGAGGACTAAATTCAAATGGTAGTGACTAGTGACCAGTGATTTATAAAATGGGCTACTAATCTAAAAAGGTACAAGTTCTAAAGCAATTTATTTTACTTTGTAATGACTTTGTAATGAGATTTTTGTAATAGCTTGACAAAAAAAAAAGGATTTTGTAATAATGTGGCAAATCTAGTTTTTAGGTTTTTGAATGATAAAAGATAAGTGAAGCTGAGACGTGGCAATTGCATTTGATCTGTTTACATTTATAAACATATATATCCAAAAACCAAACTATTCATCAAATGGGCAAAAGGCAAATCACATGGTTGAAATTTGAAAGATGTGGTGAAAAAAACAAACAAAATTGTAAGCAAAAACAAAATGTTCTTTAAGGTTCAAAGTGATTAAAAAGTTAGTATTATGTTTAATTTGTTATAAGTACTTAGTACTATTCAAAACTTAACATATCAGATTGAACTAGTATTTGGTATGGCCGGATGATCTAACAATATGATAGTTCTATTCTAGAAAAAGATATGTCTTTGTAATTTCAAAGTGATTAATAACAAGTTTAATGATGATATTAACATACCACTTTGAATTCTCATTTCAATTTTGTTCCCAATCGTTCTCAAGTTTGTTCAGTTTGTAATGGACATTTCTCCACGTTTTGTTAATATTTTTCAAAAGTTTAATTAATAATGGATTGAACTTGTATTGTTTTTGCTAGATTATGTGATACATCATCATTAATGAAGAACCATATAATTCTTTGGTGAGGATGATTTTTCAAAATCATTTAATAAGGTCAGGGTATATTCTTTTGCATTTTTGTTATATGTAATGTATATTATCAACTAGATTAATGAATCGAAAACACCATTAAAAATAAACAAATAAGTACTAAGAACACATTAAATTTTTATTCTTGATTTTAATTTCTTAAATAACTGGAAAAATTAGCAATTCTATATGAAAAATGGAAGTTTTACTTGAGAAGTATCAGAATGAAAAAGATCTAATTTAACATTTTAACTGATTTAAATTTGTAAATCTAATGTTATTTAAATTTGAAATAATAAAATTAGGTAAAATTATGTCAATTTTAAAGTATTTTCTTGACAAAGACTTTTTCTTTTCTAGTAATTATCATATATGCATGAAAAGCATGAATAGCTCGCACTGCATTAATTTCTTTTCTAGTAACAACAAGTTTTCTAGTAATGTTATTTAAATGCGAGCCTCGCAGCATTAATCATGTCATCATCTCTTAACTAATTTAAATTTAGGATCAATTTCAAAATATCCTTTTTCAAATATTACTTCTCAAAAATACCATTTTATATGTTTTGTAAATTTATTATTAAATATAATATAATATTAATTACTTTCTATGAAAAAAAATAAAAATTCTGTTTGAACTCTCTATATGATTTTTAATAATAAAGTTTAATTGAACAGAATATTTTTAATGATCATACTCATAAACTACAAAATTGACTAATAAATTTTTCAAAAACGCAATAAAATCTAGGGGAATTTCAAAAATACTCATTTTCCAATACCACTTTTTAAAAATACCATTTTTTAAAAATACCACTCTTTCTAATTTTATCAAAAAGTCACTATAAATTTTGAAATTAATCAAAAAAATATGTGTAAGCTTATATTATTTATAGACACAAGTTATCTTTATATGTGTGTAAATTTATATATATATTTGATTAATACCTTTTAAAAACCTTATAAAAACTTTGTAAACCTTATAAAAACCTTATAAAGGCCGTTTATAACTTTTTAAAACCTTATAAATATAGTCTCCCAGTAGTAATGACAAATCTTGATGTATCTTATCGACCATATAAAAGTTTATAATTTTTCATATTTGAAAAAGGGTATTTTTGAAAATAGATAGAAAAATGAGTATTTTTAAAAAGAGGTACATCAAAGCGGTTATTTTTCAAAAAAACTCTAAAATCTATGATTTTTTTATTATTTTACATAAGATATTTTTTAATTTAACTATAAATATTTGATATTAAGTAAAATCTTACTATTATATTATCAATAATAAGTGTTGATTGCGTAACTAGTATGAAAAAAAAAAACGGATTAACAGCTCAGATATACTAAAAACGATTTCACAAGAAAAATACCATAACGTACACATATTTACATAAATTATGAAGAAAAAAAAAACTAAATATTAATTTCCTATTTTGTGGTATATATAATTAGTCATCCTAATTTGTAAATGTGGTACGTTATCCATTGTCGAATCTAATAAAAAACGTAGTATAAATGATTGTTATCTAATGTATTACGACGAAAGTTATGTCAAACTTGCTAATTTAAGTATGTATGTCAAGCTTATGTTCAACGTCTTTGATCATCTTACCTCTCGCATGAATCTTAATATCAATTGATGCAATATATAGTTTTGGATCTTTCTACATTAACGTTGAAATAGTGTTAATAGATAATAAAACAAACACCACCATAACTAAAAGAGGAAGGAAGACAACTTTTGAAGTTTATCTTAATTAATTAATCTCTAAAGCTTAAGTAGTTGTAGCTTGTCGGCAAGTTCTTTTTGCTTCATAGGCTCCAGCAGCAAAGGCTATTAACGTCCAATCTTTGGTATATTGGCCCAAAAAGTGGAAGAACTATGTAAATGACAATTGGTGAAAATTGGTTATTTTTCTTCCATAAAATGTTTTTGTTTCATTAGTATTAATCTATGGAATGCAATTCTTAACGGAAATGAATTGTAAATCTAAATTTTTGAACATTAGTTTTTGTTTGATAAATAGGACATTCACGTTAAAAATATAATTGCGAAATTTAACGCGAATTTTAGTCTATTATGTAACGGGGATTTTCAAATATAAAGATAAATCTTAAATTTGAAATCCTAAGCATATCTCCAATCCCATTATATTTTAGAGTAACATTTTTTCCAACCATATTCTATATCTTACTCTAAAATATATTAAATTATAGAGTGACTCTATTATTTTACACTATTTTTTATTTTAGAGTAAGAAATAAGGTAATACATTGTAGCAAAATAATGCTCTATTTAGAGAAAAAAAATAAAGATATACATTAGAGATGTCTTAGCAAATAACCAACGATTTCTAGACTTTTTCTAAGTGTATAGTGATTATTACAATAATATTCTAAGCCAAAAAACATATTTTACCAGTAAAATTTCAAACTGAATCAACTATAAAGTTGCCAATGTGTTCCTCCTCTATTAAGTTTTTCAAGCTCTTAGACTTTGAGTTCAATGGTAAAATATACCAAAACAGACAAATATAAATAAAAAGAATAACTTGACGGATCCTGAAGTTTCCATCTCATATATGACTAATAAAGTACTAATCCTGGCTTTGTAAGCTCTATAGTTCACCAATAAGAACCCTAAATTTCTTCTAAATATGATAATCTCTCCAGGATCCAACAATTTCTATATAAATCCTTCAGCCACCAGAAGTTGCAGGGTCTAAAGCAATCTTTACCATCATTATTGTTAAGTTAGAAGCTCCCTTTTTCGAATTTTCAAGAGCCGTGAAAAATGTTTGTGGTTTCACCATCCTTTCGGATTTTCATTGAGCATCGAGCATCTCCGTGTCTGAATGGTCTTTCTCCAGGGGTTTGGACTCTGTAGCAGCCGATGGAGATGGAGTAGTCATGTCCAAACAAGAAGAATCAATAACCAGATTTTCAACAGCTGGATCTTCTTTCCCATTTGCTGCTTCTTCTTTTTGATCTGTTCCGGAGTCATGTTCCATGTCAACAGAAGGGTTTGATTCAGAATCTACTGTATCAACCCTCATGTCAACTTCCTTTCCTTCATCTTCAGAGACTGGCGCAGATGCTGACATTGACGACAATGGTGATTCTTTTTCGCATTCAAGGTCTTCTGAATGTGAGATGACTGGCATGGATGCTGACATTGACGACAATGATGATTCTTTTTCGCATTCAGGGTCTTCTGAATGTGAGATGACTGGCATGGATGCTGACATTGACGACAATGATGATTCTTTTTCGCATTCAGGGTCTTCTGAATGTGAGATGACTGGTATGGATGCTGACATTGACGACAATGGTGATTCTTTTTCGCATTCAGGGTCTTCTGAATGTGAGATGACTGGTACATATGCTGACATTGACGACAATGGTGGTTCTTTTTCGCTTTCAGGGTCATCTGAATGTGAGATGCTGCCGTTACACAGCGAGGACATTTTGATATCAATCGCCCCCACCTCAGAACTTTCAACAGAGCCCTCGTGGCTAGATTCTGTGTTTAACAATTCAGTTTTCTTCTCATCTTGACCTTCTTCGGATCTAAGACTTGATGGTCTGGGCTGAACCCTGCACCAATACCAGATATCATATTCTGTTAAAAGTATTTCTCTTAATACAGTTCTAGCAAATTCACAAACTCGGCAAAAGGTTCTACCTGCTGTAGAGAAGCATATATGCTCGCTGAGAAAGGACATCTTCTAGTTCAACCTTTTCCACCTATGATTATTTTCAGACGAGATTAGAAGATTTCTGAATATTCTAGTTTTCTTACAATCGCATTCTAGGTTAGGTCAATATGTGTAATAGCTAAACGAGACAACAAGAGAGGATAAAAGATGATTTTTACCTTAGCATCGTCTATTCTGTACCAGTTTCCACGAAAGTCCTTGACATAGCAAATGTAATGGCCGAAAAATGAGGCATTCAACATATCTAAATGCACAATCACAGCGTAGAGTTTGTATACATCTGATCCTTCTCCTCCACTGCTCATGTAAGGGCCAAGATCAAACGTCTCGGGAAAACTGATTCTTTTGTTCAGTTTACCGAATCTCCCACCCTGCACAAAATTTCAGATTTTTTAGATAATCGATGGCAGAAGATTAAGAAAAAGCGAAAGGGAGGATAATGGAGCACAAACCTGGAATCTTTTTAAGGCAATGGTAAGAATATTTGGAGCACAACGAATTGAAAGGCGCTTGCATGCCTTCACATAGTCATTGCATCTGGAAAAGAGAAAGTAAAGTTTGAGAAACACACTCCATTCACAGACCGTGCATATCAGCCATGTCTCTGTTTCAGGAAAAAAGTAAGGCTTCTGAAGGAATATAAAATACCTATCACATTTGTACAGATTATCTCCCTGTAGCCACTCTTTAGCTGTGAACTGATCAAGACATTCCTCCAATGATACGGCATCCCCGTGAATCTCAACAGTTAGATCCATCATATTTTCATATTGATCAGAAACATTACTGCAAGCAGTACACTGGACCTGCAAATTAATGAATCACAAATGAGGGGAAAAGTTCCAACAAGAGAGAGGACGATAATGCAAATCAACTGAACCAAGTTTCAAATATGAAACGTAGATATGCATGTTGGATATCTAAAGCAACCGAAGCAAGTTTCAAACATCATCAATAAAACCAACAAGCTGGGAAGAAAAGAGTGCAAGTGAGGTCCATCACACTTGACAAAACATTGAAAATGAGATCATGATTACAAGAAACCTAGGATATGGAAATCAGTCTTCCACTCTCTCACATTACAAACCTCTTAAAGAGAGGGTTGATAAGAAAGACAGAATCCAGCCCTTAGGTTAACTTGTTACAAACGATGCGAAATATCCAACCCACACCCTCTATGCGCTACTGTTTCAAACTCATTACCTAATGAGTTCTACGTATCAAACCTAAAGCTATACATATATTTTCTTGACACACTTTCCACCATTCTTGTATTAATTATAATAGTACCTTCATTGTATTATTAGAATTTGTAAATACAGTACCTGTGACTGAAGGAGGCCACCAAATATATATTGAATAAGTGTTGTTTCTTGAGCGCGAGGAGGCACCACTTTTTCTCCACCAAATTCATCGAGACAAACAGATTGCATCATGTCAATTGCAAACCTAAATCACATAAATTTTCAAATCATTAACTGACAGAACAGAAACTCCAGACTAGGCTTACACGAACAAGGAACAATTTCTGACCTCATCAACTCATGAGCATCCTCCTGTCTCCCATACCCAAGATTTCCACCAATATTAGGCAACCGCGAAATAATGTTCATTGGTGAAAAAGGATCGCGACTATGGTTTGCCCTGTCAAGATGACTTTCAAATTCACAGAAGAAGCACCATTCATTTCGCCTACCTGTTAAACGAAAGATAGAAACAATTGAAGTTCATACAGAAATTCCAATGGAAGAGACGTGAAGCATTAAAATTCCTATGATAAACAATTTACATTCTCTCTTGTGGCCTCTATCCAGAAGGTATGCAACAAGAGGGCGAGTCCAGGAAAGGCATTGTAGAACCACATTCGCGAAACAACTGAAAGAGGATTGACATAAAAAGAAAAAGAAAATCATTATAAAAAATTGAACTCACTTCAGTTGGTGCGTTAGAGCTACACTAGAATCCAGATGAACACAAACCTGTTTCCACAATTGGTGAGCCCACAAGGAGCCATTATTGGTCTGTCCCAGTTAAAATACTTAACAAAACTTTCGTATGGGAAAAGAACCTGCAGAAGAATGCATAAACAGAATCAGACTTCCACAACTATCAAGAGTAGGTGCCAAACATCAGATAAGTAAAAGAAGATCATCACATCTGTTGGTTTGACGGTAGCCTTGCTTTGGCTCAGTTGAGGAACCAATGCAACATTAGTCTTCTTAGAAGCAGAAATTTTCCCAAACAGAGAAGCTTTGATGTCGTGATCATCTCTTCCCACCGCTGATGAGTCAGTACTCCGCAACACCTTACATGTTAGTTTATGTCCTGAGCTCCAATCTGACTTTTGGCATTCCGCAGAGCTAGTACCACCAATGAACACAAATAAAACAGAAACACTAATCAAACAACACCTCCACTAAAATCCTAAAAAATCCAAACTTTCAAAAGCAAAACTAAAGGAACATTGCAAACTATACAATGGTCCAATTCTATCTCCAACTACGTCCAAATTAAATCCCAAAACCCTAATAAGGAGCAACCGGAGCTAATAACAAAGGAGACGAATTTACAAAACCGATACAACTAAAATCCTAAAAATCGAAACTTTAACAAGAAAGATCGTTCCTTTATTAATCCCCAGCTACATCTAAACCAAATCCAAACCCTAACAACAGAGAAATTTAAAATCTTTAGCAACACATACCAATACCGAGCAGATTTGCAACGAGAGCACTTCTTGGTAGAAACCTTCCCACAGACGGAACATTCAGCCGTGTCGGGAACCATGAAATCTCTACGATGGTCTCTATCGAAACCACCGGAGCCACCACCACCGACCTCGAAGTACTTTGCAGCCGTTCTTTTAACAAAGTAGAGAAGACCGATTGAGACAAAGAAGAGCGTTAAGATAAGCTGCGTGTAGAATTTCAGATCCACAGGTAATACAACTTCATGCATCTAATTCACAATCGTAGCTCCTTCTCTCAAACATCGATCTTCTTCTTCTTCGTTTCTCAGATTGGATTCGGAGATGCCAAGAGAATCTCCTCTGTTTTTTTGGTTTTTGCTCTGTGTTTAGTTTAGGTCCTTAAAGAATTGGGAATGGGCTTATAATAAACAACACATGAGAAAGAGAGAGCCTTTAGCTTAACTAATTAATTAGCTTTGGACACTTTTATTTAGTTATTTCCTTTTTTTTTTTTTTTTTTTTTTCTCTTTGTCAATTTATAGTTATTACAAGCCAACTACTATTTTTCTGGATCTATTTACATTATAAGAAATTTAATATTAATGATAATTAATTACACATATCATGCCTCTTTCTAAATAAATGTAAGATATGAAACATATTATGAATGATAAATAATAATAAAGAACCAGAATAAATATTTTTTATATATAACCAATTTCTTTTTTGATAAAGTATAAGAAAAAAATTCAAGAAACATTAGTAAAAAAAAAATGGTAATCCAGACGATTTGTCTTTTTTTTTTTCTTTTTCTGTGTGTATGTACACCTAATGTAATAACTCGGGATCTCTATTGTGGATATTATACCTCTTTTACAAATTAATAAAGAATTTAAGGTTTTTTAAAAAATTGGAAGCAATAAGTTTATATATGAAGATTAATGGTTGAGTTTGTTGAAACAAAAAAAAAGGATTAATGGCAAATATATAAAGAAAAAAAAAGGAGAGGAAAGGACTTAGTCATGTAGCGTTGAAATACAATTATAGTTCACTCAACCTTTGTCAAATTAAACAATTTATATGTGCCGCTTTTTTCAAATTAGTGCTGAGTAGCTTTCGACTAATCTTTTTTTGGCAAAAAAAAACTCATTTATCTCTATTTATGTGTTTGCATTGCACATTTTTTTTTTATTTTTTTTGGAATAGTAAATATCCCTTCTTATGATTATTTGCTTTCGTAATCTCTAATCATATCTACAATTTCCTTATCTCAACACTCTCACATCTGATTAATCAAGTGAGCTGCATATTTTTTTTTATAATCACCACTCATGTTTAGAGTGTCACGACTTGCAAGTTCTTTTTATTTACTGTTTATGTGTTGTGATAAGTATATTTTAACGTCGATGTTTAGTTTATACTGTTTTTAATTTTGTTTGTTTTATTTGAATAGTTTTATAAATAATTTTAAGTCAATATTGAAAATAAAAAATATATATCGGTCAACTTATGTTCACAAATTTTTTAGATATTGTAGCTTTTAAATCTCTAATTCCTATTCATAAAGTCATAAGTTTTGTAAATATAATAAAGTTAATTATAGTAAATTATTAACTTTATATTATATAGTTTGTCTTAACCAAAAATAATTGAGCTAAAATAGATAAAAGCTAGGTATACATGAGTGTCATAATTGGTTTTATAGTAATTGTATGTGATCACTGGAATAAAAAAAAATATAAGTATCAAATAAAATTAAAAATTAACAAAAAAACCTATATTGTAAACAATATTTGATGTTCATAATATCTTGTCTCAAGTATCAAATAGTAAATTTTCTCTATATATTTGTTTACATATATTAATGTCAGAAAATTTGATTTATAATAAAATACAATATGTTGAATTGATTCAGAAATTCACCAAATTTCTTTCTCGAGTTCAATTTTTATACCATTAAAAGTTTAAATCTATACTAATTGCTTCAAAAACCTTGTGAAGTTACAAATAGGATCGATAAGTGACACCTTCGTTGGTGTTTCTTTAAATCACAAGGTGCAGATTCTGCTCCTAACTAAACACCACCAAAACAAAGATATACCAAAAAACAATATTTTAAGAGTTAAGTTTGATCATACAACAGAGTGAACATACTTACTAAAACACACTACAATAGTACAGTTTTAGACCTTAAGAGTTAAGTTTGATCATACAACAGTAGTGAACATACATACAAAAACACACTACAATAGTACTGTTTTAGACCTTAAGAGTTAAGCCGACCATTGTTAAATCTTACCTAAGAAAAGAGAGTCAAACATTGATTCATGTCAACATTATACTCATATACAGTTTCATTTTGGTTTATAGGTTCACCTTGGAGCGAAACTTAAGGACACAGGTGGTCTCTTCTTCCCAAATCAGCTCCAACTTGATTGATTCATTTGCCTTCACACCGTTAGCTTCGAGGAATCCTTTCCAGCCTCCTACCAGTCTTAGTCTTTCACTATTAGCGCCCTCCGAGCGCAGTTTCGTGGACCACTTCCTACCTTGTTTATCCAACAGAGCCATTTTAGTTTCTTTATTGATGCCATTCGTCCTAGTGAAGGGTATCGGAAAACGCTGCAACACAGATTCACATAATGATGTCAGATTTGTTAGACAAGTACAAAGACATATTAGTGGTTTTGAGAGTGATGAAACTAACCATTACAGAACATGAGATGTTGTAAGGTCTAAGACTTAACGTCACAAACCGGTTTTTGGATGGTGAAGATGAAGAATTCCATCTCAACCTACGCTTCTTTGAGCTTTCCTGTGAGATTTTCTTGTTTTGGCTACTCTCTTTATTGCTACCATGATCTGTCGAAAGAGACTCTACTTCCTTCACTTCTTCTTCTTCTTCTTCCTTAGCTTCTTCTTCTTCTTCCTCCTTAGCTTCTTCTTCTTGTTCTTCCTCTTCTGCCTCATTGGGAGTCAAACGTAGAGTAAGAGTTCCTTCTTTTTTGATCAGTTTGAATGTTACAACCATTTTAGCTCTAAGGCCATTATCAAGGCAGAAACTTCTCCATCCTCGGAGGAAAGCAGTTCCGCAGCTCTTTCGTCTCAAATCTAAAGTCCATGATCTGCCCTTTTCATTCAGCAGAATCATATCTCCACATCTTCCATCTATACCATTTTCCCTCATAAACCACTTTGGAAGATACTGAAAAATTCATAACAATACAACATACATGTTATCTAATTCAGATCCAAGAGTGGTTCAAATAAAAAGTATAGAATATACCATAGTGTCATAACGTAGCATCGAAGGCGAAATATTAGCCACAAAACAAGAGGTATCTAGTGAAGAGGACTCTGTTTCTCTTCTTGGATTCTTCTCTGTCTCCATCTTCTTTTGAATCTTCCCTGAAAAAGAAAGGAATAAACTAACCAAATCACATTTCTAGAACATCAAGTGCCATGGTTAGAGATAGAGAGATCAAACAGAACAGCTCACCAATGTTGCTATCTTCATGGCATTCCGGTTCTGTGGAAGGAGAAACATCATTAGCTTCTTCTTCTACTGGCTCTTTTGGTACCAAACGTAGAACACGAGTTCCTCCTCTTTGGATCAGTTTGAAAGTGAAGGTATCCCCATCTTTAAGTCCATTGGCATCACAAAAAACTCTCCAACCTCCTCTGATATAAACATTTCCACATGCTGGCTTTTTATGCAGTTTAAAAGTCCATGTTCTGCCCTTTTCATTCATCAGAACAATCTCTCCAGATCCATTGATTACACGACTATTTGCCTTCACAAAAGGCCTTGGAAAAAGCTGAAAAGATACATTACAATACAACATGAAAACAAACCCTAGAAATGAGGAGTTCCTTTAGGGAGTTCAAGTTAAGATTTAGCATACCAATAAGTCATAACGTATACTCGAAGGTGCGACCTTAGCTACAAAACAAGATGGATCTAGTGAAGAAGTCTCTGCTTCTTTATTAGGACTCTTCTTCTCCTCTGAAAAAGAAGAGAACATATTTCTTAATTATCAATCACAGAGTTAGAAAGAGAGACAGAACACAACTCACCGAGGTTGCTTTCTTGGTCGAAACAAGAACCATACTGAAGCTCACAAGAACTAGGTCCCAAGAGTGTCACATGAAAAGCCAAGTGTCTCTCTTGTCTAAAAATGGCAATGTCGCCAATTCGAAGATCATGTGCAATAGCAAACTCTTCCCAACCATCAGTGAATCTTTGGCCATCTATCTTCACATTCCAGATAATCTTGGAGACGTCTGATGTTAGCTCAGCCGTAGACTTCTGCTCATCTCTTCCTTCTATATACTTCAAAAAGAAAGCTACAGGAATTGTCTGAAGCAACATGCAAATACAAAACCAGACTCAAACATTCTCAATTTTAGCTTGTCAGAGAGACAGAAAAAAACATATATAAAAAATTGTATAGAGAGAATGAGAGAGAGAGAGAGAGAGAGTACCAAGTGGCTGTGAAATCCGGGAAGAAGAGGTTTGAAGAAATGTTTATTCGCCATCCCCAAAATCTTGAGAAGCTCTAAATCTCCAAAAGTGTCAGTGTTCTTGGGAAATCTGAGTCTTTAAAAGAAGAGCCTTGATGATGACATTTATTTCTAGGCAGAGATCTTTAATATGGATATTGGATACAGTATTTTAATGTTGATTTTTAGAACCGATTTTGTTTAAACAGTCCGGTTCGGTTCGAATGTTTCAAACCGGTTTAGCAGTCTAGAAAATCTGAATAATCACATTAGCAAACGCAAAAATGTTCACTTTTACCTAAACAATTTTTAGTAAAAAAATTATGTAAATAAGCGGATATATTTTGTTTTTGCAGGATAATTCTTTTTTTTTTTTGGTTACAAAAATATTTTAATTGTAAAATTAAGAAAATAATCATTTAAAATTAAAATTATTTTATTTATTCGAATAATATTTCTTCACAACTTTTTTTTTAAATTAATATATTTTTGATAAACCTATATTTTTGTTATCAAATATTATTTAAAATATATTAAAATATATTGAAATTTTTTTCTTTTTGAGAAAATATAATATAAGTATATATTGGTGATATAATATTATATTTTTTTCGTTTAATCAATACGAAAAATGTGGTGTAGTTACTCTTTTTTTTGTATTTATTAGTATTTATCAATCAAATCTCTTAACTAATTGTGTCTTCAACTTTGTTCTTTTTACTCAAGCTTTACATAAGCTAACAACAACTAAAGAACAAACCGGACAATAATTGGGACCTAGAGCATCCGACACATGTGTATAATTGAGAGAAACCAGTACGTTGTTGGAAATCACTAGCTTAAAACGACACGATGTGTGTTCACGAAGATATTACCACATCGCTTGATTCCAAAATTATGACTGTAAGAAGTATAGTATAAATATCAAAGTAGATGGTCCGTTTTAATTACTTACCTGGACGGGGTCAACTCGTGATCATGAAGACGAGTGGCCTAGGCTAGTGACCACATTGCACATTACGTTGGGGTGCTTAGCCTAAGGTCTTCCTATAAGGAAGATCCTGCGTCATTATTTGTGGAAGAGGGGGTTTGCGTTCGCGCAGCCCCTACCATTCATCATATATCTCAAAAATTTACAAACAAAACCTTCCTGTTATGTGATGAATGGTAGGGGCTGCGCGACAAACATGATGTAAATTTTCGTTTTGGAGCATCCTTGTTCTTCTCCTCTACAATGTTCTCTTCCTCACTGCTAAGTTTTGTGGCAACAGATTCTGTCTTGCTAGCCTTCTATCACTACTAGATTCTGAAGTAGAGTAACTGAGCACAGGCGTTTTCCCGGTTCGCACTAGTTGAAACATAGAAAAACCTCCTGCTTTTTGACAGTTCTCACCACATAAATCTCTCCAATCTAGGCTTATATAGAAGGTATCAGACGATTCGTTAACCCTCAGATCCAATACCCATGCATGATCTTTCCCCTCCATCTGTTAAAACAATCTCGCGACATTTTCTTGTAAGACCATTTGCGCTTGTGAAATGTGGTGGAAGATACTGCAAGATCAGATTAAACCACAAGACTCGGATTATTCTGCTTAGGAGCCTGCTTTGTATATCACTGTCATTTTCAGAATTTCCCTCATGACTCTTTCTTTAGTTTCTTGGCTAACCAACATACCAACAATATATAGCAAACGTGAACAAACAGTTTCTTTAGTTTCATGAAGACTATAGGTACAGAAGAGTTTTCTTTTTTGTGTACTTTTGGCACTACAAACAGATGAAGAAGCAGCGACTATGTATTACAGCAAAATACTTAAGACATTTCATAACCAAACACAATTTTGAGAACAATGCGGATGATGTCTCAATAACGCAAGCATTAAAGGAACTAATGGACAAATCTAAACCTTTCTCACAATCCTATTCTTTTTACCTAAAGCAAACAATAAACATATACACATAGGCCCTAATTTTCACATGTTATCTCTTCCTAAATAAAAGTTTTGTGTTTAGTCTCCGGAGAAGAAAACTTAAGTACCGGAGTTGTATCTCGTTTGTCAATGAACTTCAAAGTAAAAGGCTCTCCTAACTGCACGCCATTAGCCTCACAAAAGCCTTTCCAACCACACCCCAAAGCGACAGTTCCATCTCTTGTCAACAGATATGCTGACCATTCCATTCCGTTTTCACACCAAAGAGTTATCTTCCCAAGTTTGTTGATACCATTAGCCTTCATGAATTGACTTGGAAGTATCTGCAAATGGTTTATACAAACACATCTCTCATTACCAATTATAATTCAAGAGCGAAAACCAACTCAAATCGGAAACAAGAATAGTTTGATGAAGTTACCAGTTTACTGGCTTTAACATCTTCAGGTGTGAGTGCTAATGTCACGAGTCTTTTTTCGATTGCTGGGGATGAATCTCTGCTTTTCGGTTTTGAGAAAATTGACTCTTCCTTGTTAGAATTTGAATAGCTAAAGTCTGTACGTAACAGACTGAGTATAGGAGTTGTGTCTTCCCATGTTAGCTTCATCGTAAAGGATTCGCCTAGCTTAAAGTTATTTGCTTCAGTAAACTCTTGCCAACCTTGTCCCAAACTCATTGTTCCTTTCTTGTCTAGTTGAAGCTTTGTCAGCCACTTTGTACCATCTGTATCCAACAGACATATCGTTCCAGGCTTGTTAATATTATTCTCCCTCACAAATTGTGCTGTGAGGACCTGGAAACAAATTAAAACGAGAGTATTATTAATAACCAGTTGTTGTGTGATAAAACCAGCAAGAGTAAAAAGGGAGAAAAACAAATCCTCTGAAACAAGAGTTGTTTAACAAACTTACCAGTCTGTTTCTTTCGACACTGGAAGGTGTAATTGTTAATGTCACAAATTGTTTTTGGCTCGACGGAGTTAAATTTCTCACTCTCCGATGATTTCTCTCTCTATTGACTGACCTCCTCTCCTCTTTGTTGTTTTTTTCTTTGCTGCTCTCATCTTTGATGTTCTTGTCTTTGCTGATTTTTTTACAAGTGCTAGGTTCTATGGGTAGAGACTTTTTCTGGTTTGTTTCGGAACACCCTTCTCCTGCTTCTCTGCCAATGCTACGTTCTGAAGGACACAAGCTGAGCACAGGAGTTTGGTCTTCCCAAATCAACTCGAGCGTAAAGGAGTCACCTGTCTTTAAGCCATTATTTTTAACAAAATCTTTCCAGCCGGTTCTTAAGAGCATGGTTCCTTTTGTTTTGTCTAATGACAAAACCGTCTGGTACTTTATACCGTCTTTTCCCAACAAAGTAATGATCCCAGGCTTATTGATGCCATTCTCCCTTGTGAAATTCTTTGAGAGACGCTGTTAAAGATCTCGGTTAAGTAAAAAAGGTTTTCAAAACCAATTAAAGGACTAAAACAAGAGTCGTTTGAAAAACTTACCAATCTATTCCTTTCGAAACTGGCAGGTGTAATTGTTAACGTCAGAAATTGTTTGTCGCTTGATGGAGTTGAATCTCTCCATTTCAGATGATTCTTCTTTTTCTCCTGCGACCTGCTCTCCTCATTATTCTCATCGTTGCTGATCTTGTCTATGTTGCGAGTATCTATGAGACAAGATTTTTTCTCGATAGCTTTTAAAAACTCTTCTAGCTCTCTGTCACAGTTAGATTCTGCACAGCACAAACTAAGCACAGGAATTGTTTCTTCCCATATCAACTTGAGTGTGAAGCCCGACTCTAAGCCGTTTGCTTTAACAAAATCTTTCCAACCCTTTCCCAAAGACGTTGTTCCTTTCTTGTCCACTCCAAGATTTGTCAACCACCTTCTACCATCTTTATCCAAAAGACATATCTCCCCAGGCTTAGTGATGCCATTATCCCTCACGAAGGGCGCTGCAAGACTCTGTAGATATTTAACAGAAGCCTAATAAACATGCGTCAAAACTAATAAGAGCAGAATCAAGAGTTGTTTTTCATAAACTTACCAAATTTCTAATTCTGACATAATCCGGAGGAAGTGTAAACTTTATGAATCGCTTATGACATGGCGAATATGATGAATATGGTGAACCTCTTGGTTTCAGAATATACTCTTTTTTTTCTATCCCCATCAATGAGTTCAACGAGCTGCACTCGTCTTTACTGCCCTCCCTTGCTATGTTCTCTACCTCACTACTAAGTTTTGTGACAACAGATTCTATCTTGCTAGCTTCCGAACAGTCTCTTTGCCTTCTGTCACTAACGGATTCTGTAGTAGAGAAACTGAGCACAGGTGTTTCCCCGTTTCCCACTAGTTCAAACATGAAGAATCCTCCAGCTTTTTGACCATTTTCATCACAGAAATTTCTCCAACCTCTTATGTAAAAAGTATCAGATGATTCGTTAAACTCTAGACCCAATGCCCATGATCTTTCCTTTCCATCTCTTAAAACAATCTTACGGCAGTTTCTCTTAAGAGAATTTGAGCTTGTGAAACGTAGTGGAAGATACTGCAAGCACCAGATTAAACACAAGATGGACTAAATCAAACTTGAAGCTAAAAATACACAGTAACCTAACATGTTTTACCAAACTAAACAAAGACAAATTGAAGTTAACTTATGATTGTGGTTGATAAAACCACAAAATGCAAGAACGATTAGTATGATATTGAGGTCAATGCAGGGATAAAGCAAAATACCAGTGTATCTGTAGTTAGATTCAGACCCGTGACAAAGGCCACAAAACAAGAGTTGTCTGCTGATGAAGAAGAAGAAACTGCTTCTGCTTCTTCACTGTTTGTCTTCGCTCTCTTCTCTCTAGGAAGCTCTGAAATCAAAAACATGTTAAAACCTTAGATACTGTTACAGTGTTACAATATAATATAGCATTCAAGATAAGTGAACTTCACCTTCATCATCAACAACATCTCCATTGTTTGATGAAAACTCCACTTCATGCAAACGCCTTTTCAACAAATTTTTACCTGATTTAACAAATTAACAGCTCTTTTTCTTACAAAACACATATTCAAAACACTAATCTCTAAAACACATAACAAATGACTTAGGTTATACCTTCATTTCTTTGAATCTCCGAGCAATTAGGTCCTAAATCAGAAAAATGGAACACACTATCCCCAACATATCTAACAACAACAACATCTCCGATTCGAAAATCATTAGCCACAACAAAATCCTTCCAGCCGTCAGTAAATCTCCGACCAGACATCTTCACTTCCCACGTTCTGTCCGAAACGTCCGATTTCAACTCCGCTACGCTTCTTCCTTCAACATACTTTGAGAAGAAGCTTTCAGGAATCGTCTACAACAACAACAAGATATAAAATGATTACACAGAAGAGATGAATCGTATACAGAAAGAGAGAAGAAGAAGAAGAAGAAGAGAGAGTTACGAAGTGTGTGTGAAAGCCATGAACAAGTGTATGGAAGAACTGCGGATGAATCCTTGATGTCGCCATTGTCGAAGTAGCTAAAACTTTGAAGAGAATAAAGAAACTAAACGTTTCAAACACAGAAGCTTTATGATTACGAGTGGAAGAATTGTAATCTCTCCGATGATCTCTCTCCCCCTCCCTATTTGTCTCGCTCCGGTTTAGTTTTTTTTTCCGGCGAAATCAGAAAAACATCAAGCATCTCCATCTCTCAAAAGAGATTGGGCCTACGGAAAAAAACAAATGAGCCTATTAAATTCTTTACAGGCCCAATCTATATGGGAGTTTTGCAAATATAATTAAAAAATTGTTTAGTTTTGAAAAAGTAATAAGTTTTTGACAAATATAAAACTACCAAAATTCAATTGTCAATTGACCGACCAAGAAAAATAATTAAAATACTGTTTTAGTTTATTTTTAACACTAAAATAAAAATAAAAATTGTTTTATAAAATAATAATAATATATTATTAGCATAATACTTTTTTAACTGGACTAAACTTCATTAAAATCATAATCTATGTAACTAATATATTTGGGTTGGTAATTTTTCTTTTATGCATATTGGTTATTATTTTTCATATAATTTGTGTATCTATTTATCTTTTTAGATATTTTGGATTTTCATTTGATTTTCCATTCGGCATGGTTCAAATCATATAACTTTGCTTTAAGTATTTGAGGATTTATTCAGATATATTACAACTGATTAGATTATTAGTTATGTTTGGTTATTTTATATATCCTTAGGAGCATATGAAAAATCCAAAATATATATGTTTTTTCTATTACATCAAACCAAATAATATGGCTCCCAAATCCTAATCAATCAAGTGAACACTATTTACTTTGAAAACCACTCCGAATATGCACACATAATAATACCTTTGAAAAACAACGCCAAATATTAATATAAATTAAAAATATGTGCAATTTTAATTTAAGTTATTAGGGTTTTGTATAAATTATTTAAAATTAAGTTATTATGGTGTCTTATATAAACGTATTATAAATAATCTTTTGAAAGTTATTAATAATCTTTTGAAAGTTATTAATTTTATTTATCTCTGAATAAGACCTCATGACTTCCGGTAAAATATGAGTAACATCTACTTTAGCTGGTTTTTTTATCGCAGAAAGATTAGAGAATATCAATTGAGTTTGAGGTTATGAGAGATAAAAGACAGTCCTTTTTACACTTTGGTTACACGTTGGATTCAAGTGGTTATAAGTCAGTCTAAAGATAGGACATAACCAAACATAAATAATACATTTGGGTTGATAATTACTATCTTTTATATAATGGTTATTATTTTTCAGGTATTTTCTGTAACTATTTATTTTTTTAAATGTTTTGGATATTCATTCGATTTTTGGTTCGGCATCGTTAGGATTCTAGTAGTTTGATTTAGGTATTTGAGGATTCATTAGAATATATAACATATGATTTGATTATTAGTTATGCTTGGTTATTTTATCTACCCTAGGAGCATATGATAAAAGGGACATTTGCAAAAATATTTTTCTTAGTACTTTTTGCAAAAATAATTTTTTGTTTTCTATTTCAATTTAGTAACTGGAGTTTTGGATTTAGAATTTAGTCGTTTTGCATATAGAAAAGATATATTATTGGATGTAAATAAATAAATAAATAAATATATATATATAT